AAAATTATAAATTTCCTAATTTATCTATTGATTTGTGGTTAATATTGGTTCTCACAGTTACCACAAACTAATTAGTTCTCATTTGATTAGGCTCCTATATATATATATATATATATATATATATATAGGGGAGCGTTCAAATAGAAACCACCCAATTTATATAAACCGTGAAAACCACATTCAACCAATCATAATTTTTCATTTTGTTCATTTTTTTGTAATTATAAGAGGTTGATTAACCATTTTTATTGTAGAGGGTGTTAATCATGGATATTATCGTCTTCATTATTTTAATTTTAGAGAAATACATGAATCAGTTTCATTAAAATTTCTTTAAATATTATATGAAACAATTTCATAACCATATATGAAATAGATTCATCAAAAAAAAGTATTATATGAAACAATTTCATAAGATTAAACAATTTCAAGAAAAAATTTCGTAAGATTAAACAATGAAATGGACGTATGAGGGTGGTTTGTACGATTTACACAAATGAGGGCGGTTTTCATTTGATCGCTCCTCTCTCTCTCTCTCTCTCTCTCTCTCTCTCTATATATATATATATATAAAGATAAATATTTTAATTATGTGTTTTGTACTATAATTTTACTAATTGGTTGGTTTTGATTTCAACCATGGTTATAAGTTTCAAAGCATCCATCACGTTTTTATACATCCATCATCATCTTCCAAATCTTTCCACCAATATGAGATGATGAAAATCAACTTTAATCAAGATTTGAGGAAGACTCAAACCTTATGTTGCCAAGTCATCATCTTTGGTCTCACTTTTAGTTTTATACTTTGATTTTTACCATTTGTTTGATTTTGATTCCAACCATGGTTATAGATTTCAATGAGGGGTTATCCAAAATAAGACAATTCTATGAGGAAAACCCCATGAATTGATACAAAGGCACCATTCATCTTTTTATACATTTCACTTTGTTCAAATCTTTTAACTCTTCATCAATGTGAGACAACTAAGACCCAACCACAAATTCACCATATGAGAATACTCAATTCTCATTGTGCCACCTGGAATATCCCAAGGTTTTACAAAAAAAAAAACCTTTTAGGTGCATCTCGATACATGTCATTCTAATATGCATCCAAAGGTGTAGATCAATTTTTACACTTCTCACTTTAACTCTCATTCTCACCGGAACTCAACCCTCTAATCTACCTCTCATCAAATATCTCCCTCAAGATTAAAAAGTCTTGGGAACATTTATTTTTAAATGGGGGTGAAGGGCTTGGCCTGGGAAGGGGAGAGTGGTCAAAAGCAACAAATTATAAATCTGTTGAAGTTTTTCTATGTAGGTTCGAATCATGCCCCTCCCACTTGTTTGTTGTAGATTTCAGAGAAGAGAAAATATATGTATTTGCTTCTTTTTTTAGTTAATTTGTTTTTTTTTTCTTTCTAAAAGTGATTGTAGTAGTTTCGTTTTTATACTTTTTAAAATGACTATTTTATATTAAAGAACTTGGATGAACAACGCATGTTATAATGATTTTATGAAATTTGAAACTATTGATCAGTTAAAGCTTTGACTAATTGATAGTCACATGATCCTGTTGGATAGTTTGAAGATTTATGTTGGGCATGGCAATACGATTTATGAATTACAGACCGTAATAATTTACATTACACCACATTATTTAAGATTGTATTTTTTTTTTCAAAATTTTCACTTATTTTTAATTTTGATGATTTATTTTTTCAATTGTCATGTAATTAAAAATATGCATGTATTTATGTAAATAAAATATATATAGTTTTATATATTTAAGATTGTATTTTGTATTTCAAAATTTCCACTTATCATTAATTTTGATAATTTATTTTTTCAATTGCCATGTAATTAAAAATATGGATCTATTTATGTAAATAAAATTATATATAGTTTTATATATTTGTGGATTCAATTTTTTTTTATAGAATAATAAAAATGAAGTAAGAAAATAGTAGAAAAACAAAAGGGTTAGCAATTAATGTGTTAATTGTATATTAAAAATAAATCAAAATAATGAAAAAAAAGGATAAAAAAACTTATCATTAAACAACTTTTTGGTTCTTCCTTTAATATATACATATAGATTATATATACTATGATATCAAAATACACATATACGTTATCTGCTGTTATACTTTATATAGTATAGGTGCCTTGTGTTCAGTTATGTGGAAGTACAAGACAGAAATGAAACTTTATTAAAGTAGAAGGATGTTTGTTGTAATTATTTGAGTTTGTGTTTGTTGTTCTCGAGACGTATTAACGACTTCTCACAAATCCCTTTTTTGACATTGTAGAACGCAGAAGATAATTATCGAGGGCGATTGCACATATCCACGATTAAAGGGCAATATGGTAATTTAGCAATGACTTACAATATCAAACAGTAGGTATAATTAGTGAAGGGGAGAGAGAAAGAAAAAGGAATAACATGGCTGGTGTCTATTTTTGGTTGTGGGTGTAGCCTTTTTCATGGCATTTTACACTCTATTGGAATATTTATTCGTTAACTGAAACTCGTTAACGAAGTTGGCTTGTAACTCGATTGAAATGATTTCGACTCGATACCGTGTTTGGATGTAGGGTTCAATTATTATTACGATACTCCAAACAACAATTATTTGACTTCCTTAACGTCATCATTAGATGCTAAAATTAACATATAAACGGGTCATTGACATGTTTGTCATCACAATAAAGCCCAGGTCGTTGTTTGAACCCTTGTTTCTTCATCATAATCCTGGCCTTGGTCACGAGCTCATGGTTCGTTATCTTCCCATTCGATTCTTCCACGATCGCCTGAATCGTATGGCTGAGCGCACCAAACGATAGCTCTTGCTTCCCAGATGGGGTAGCATCAGCCGAGGTTTGATCAGTCTGGCAACCACTGATCAAAATCCCGTTCTCCGGCAGCTTCTTTTTCTTGGATCCGGCATACGCATCTTGCTTGCCACCAACTTCTGTTTCCATGGCTGGTTTCCCGTAATTTGAGTTGCTCTCCAGCTTTTGCTTTAGGAATTCCTGAGCTAAACCACTCACTTTTCCCAGAAAACCGCCACCACCACCATCGCCGCCGCTGCCTTGGAGGCTGTCCAGAAGGACCTTCATGAACTTCTTCACTTTTGGACTTGAATCGTCCCCAAATACATCAAACAAAGTTGGCCTCACATTCCCAACATTTATATCATCTTTTCCGGTTTTTTGTTTCAGGATATCAACAAGAGTGTCAAGAGGTAAAGATCTGTTCGTTACGCTCAAATCGTCCTCCTCACCACCACCTTTACGGCTGAATATTGATTCTAATGCATCTTCAGTCTTTTGTAGGAAATTCCCGAATCCAGAACCTGATTCAGCCTCTCTTTTTTCTTCAGACAAATCATCTTTGCAGCTCTCACCAATCTGCTCTTTAGCGTCATCAATGAGTCCGCCACTATGGCAAGAATCTGAGACTATGGTTAATTTGCAACCATGTGGTACTTGATCTACAAGCTCCCTGAAGTCGTCATCTGGAATGCTCTCACACGAATGTACGTGATACAAGGTCAAAACCACAATACAACAATAAATTGCACATAAAAGTTGCTTTAACTAGGGTGAAAGAAGTCTGCAAGCTCCAAAACTCCATACTCCATAAGAACAATTGGAATGTAGTAGTGAGCGTATAGCGAATATATGTGTGTGCAAAAGAGACGCTGATCATCCACCTCTACCACCACAATACCTTCCCATTGAGTGAAAGCAAACACAAACCAAAATCATGTTCCAATCAAGAGAAAACAGTTTAACCGTAGGAGGATTATAACTAAGCATAAACCAAAGGAACAAAAATGAGAAAACAAGATGGTCAGATTGAGAAAATCAAATAGAACAATGGACAAATCTATGAAGGTAAGATTAAAGTCTGTGCATCGAATAAATTGGAAAGCCGCACCGGCCAAATCTGCTATTTTGCCTTTCAGAAAGTAATTCTGATTTTTGAATGTCAAAAAATGGAGTCAAATCGTTAGATCATTCGAAGAGAAATAACCAGATACGTCATAAATCATGCATAGAAATCCCTAAATCAAGCTAATTCAACTCAAATATTCAATTTCCTAAATCCAGCGTCAAATTGTAGATCGACAGGGAAACTAATCGGTAGATCTAAAGAGGTACCATACCAGTTATGAGATTCATGTCGCATGGAACAATGCACTCGTCGTAGCCAGTATCATCATCTTCACCAGTCTCGGCGGGAAGTCGAGTGCCGTGACCACTATAATGGACGAAGAGAATGTCCTCGGACTCGGCCGATTTGATGAGATCAGAAAGAGCGGTGCGGATGTTACGGCCGGTGGGCTGAGTATATGAACTATCGGCATCGATGAGAACCTTAATATCGCTTTCCGCGAATCCGTAACGATCGATCAAACAACGATGCATTCTCTTAACATCATTGACGCATCCTTTAAGCTCCGCCTTGGTTCCGGCGTAATTACATCCGATCAACACCGCCTTTTTCTTACCCATTTCTTCTAACAAAAAACGATGGATTATTGGTTCAAAATCGAATGAGGGTGATGAACAGTTTGCATTCCCATATTTGTTTTCAGTGGATCTACGTTATAATTTGAATGCATCAGAAAACTAGGAGATTAAGAGGTTGGCATCTATTATATGCGCACGGTTATATCTGAATTCTTATACTGCTTTAAAAAAAATTAGAGTAATTTATGTTTTTGTCGGTTAAAAATTACGATTTTTGTCCCTATAGTTTATAAATTGTGGTTTTTGTTCTTATAGTTTATAACTTATTGTTATTTTCATCCCTATGATTTAAAATTAAATGGGGGCTTGTTTGTTTTTTTTTTTTTTTTTTTTTTGAAAAAAGCTCTTAATACCTCTTAAGTCTGAATCGGTCAGACGTTTTTATTTTCAGACCGTTTGATTTTTTTTTTAATAAGAGCTGAAAAGCTCTTATAGTCCTCTGAATTTCTAAACCCTTGAGGACACCATATCGATCTCTCGCTCTCTCGTTTGATCTCCAGCTATCAAATCATACCGATCTATCCACATCAAACAATCTAGACACCATATCTATCTCTCGCTTGGTCTCAAGCTACCGATCTATCCATATCAATCTCTCCAAAACGATATCTGCAAATCGATCTCTCCTATATATGAGTTATTTTATGAGTATGATCAAACCAACGAGCAAGGGGATGATGGCGACACAATTAATGCAAAATGAATATTGGTTCTACTCGTTATGAGACTTTGTTCGTGTTTATATTGATTCAAATTTCAAACTTCAGACGTAAAAACAAACGGTCTAACTGATTCAGATTTCAGACTTCAGCACCACCTCTTATAAATCAGAAGTGAAATCAGACTTCAGACTTCAACACCTCTTAAAAAACAAACACCACCTGACTGTTATGGTCCTTGTACTTGAAGATATGAATTAGTGGAGGGACTAAAATAACTATAAATTATAAATTATATGGACGAAAATCGTAATTTCTAAACCATGACGAAAATCGTAATTTACTCAAAGATTTAATAAAACAATAGTCTAATAGTGAAATATGAGTTTTTTTAATGTTCAAATATCTTTTCTATGTGAATGGTTATATCCAAATGTTCTTAGAAAAGTTTAAAATGTATTATATGAATTTGCTGGATTTTTATCTGTCATCTACTATGTTTCATGAGATCTATTAAATTATACGTAATGTAAATGTTTAAATATTTTTTTATATGATACAATTATATCATATGACTTTTGGATCATATGAGATAAAGTTGTTTCCGTGATACCTCTGAGACATATTATAAGCTTTTGGATGAGTTTTTATTTTTATATTGTCAAACATTCACCAGTAAACCCACAAAACATTCACCAGTAAACCCACCAAACATTCACTGCAAAATACCAAAACTTTCACAAGAAAAAAAAAACGAACCTTGACATGAAAAACACATTGAATATTGACCGGAAAAACACCCGAAACCTTCATGGAAATCACATACAAAACCTTCGTAGTGTGTTTTTGGGAACCCAACCCTATATTACATCAGTTATGAACAGATGTCATCTTTATGCAGTGACCCTCGATTAGAGCGTGGTGTTTTTTAGAAATCATTACTATATTCATTATATGTCTTTTTCAAGATATAAACAAGGATGAGTTTAGTCTAGCTTCATAATAACGTTCAACCAGGTAATGGTGTGTAAGACAACATATTAGATATGTTTCGTATATTGATGCTCTAACAAATTCGATATTTCGATCTTTTATTTTTTGATAAAATGATTAGATTTTTAAAAGTAACCAAGGAGTTATCATATCAATTTGTTTTTGAAGCAGTATCTAATAAATTCATTTTTTTAATAAAATTATAAGAATTTTAAAAGTAGATAAAATTTTTACAACATTAACCACAAGAGTGGTGTCTGATTGGTTTGAGTTTGGCTCCAAAGGTCAAAAATAGCAGGAGGTGTCAGGTTTAAATCCAAGGAGGAATTAAAATCCCCTTGTGGCCACGGAGGTTCAAATGTGCTGACTCCAAGCTATCTGCAAAACAGGTGGTCACCCTGGGATTAGTCAACCCGCATAACGGGTTGGATAGCCAGGTTAATCAAAAAGTAAAAATCTAGAACATTCTCAATCCGTGCGGAACTGGTATCCAATCCTAGTTATAACAAGTCTAGTCTCAAAGCTGTTTTGAAACTAGATATGCATGATAAGTCTTGCTTGGTCCTAGACCCGTTTATGCCTGATTGTCTTAGTTTGGTCTATTAATTCTGGTTGAGAGTGCGGTTATAAGATTGGTCCTCTGCAAAGACCGACCGTAAGTATGGTTTAGGCTGAGGTCTACTCCCTACAAATATAATATTTAATACTTATTTATTTGTCTTATTTTGTTAAATTCTTTTTTCGACTTTCATGTAACTTTGTATATTTTTATTCCTTTTATAGAATTTAATTATCTTTTTGAAAAAAAAAATTGCTTATAGTTAATTATTAGAAGTTTTGTTCTTAAATTTTATTTTTGTAATTTACATAATTTTGTATTAAAATTTAAAAATATGATTTTTTAATAATACATAAAAAAAATATTGAAACAATAATGAAAATCTAAAAAAAAAAACTTAAGACTAGCCTTATCGGCACCTGTGCAGGACCGATTGGACCTTTGGACCCAAATCAGACCCATTTTTGAGGTCAGGGGATCGTTGTCATAGGTATTAGGCCTTATCAGACTTCACTTTTCAATTTAGGCCTGAGGTATTAACACCTCTATGGTTATTTTGGAAGGGTGTCAATCTTACCTCCGTTTGTTGAAAGGTTTGTATTTTTCAATCTTATCATTGTTATATTTACTTGGTCTTTATTATTTTTTAGGGAGTTGTTGTGATAAAGTGTTGATTGTTGGAGGGCTGGAAGTGTCAAGAGATAATACTCTTGGACTGGTACTCTGTAAAGTAGAAGATAAAGGGTAGCGGAGTAAACTGAGAAGATTGAGGTTGTTATATATCTTCTTGGTGGTATTATGAAATGATTTTCCCATTTTTTGTATTCGGGTTGGATTGTAAAACATATCTAGGCAATCAAGAAGTATAACACGGGTCCCAACTTCCGGGTTGTGGTGCATCCGTTAGGTGCGGATGATGTAGTAAAAATCTTATCATTTTTGGGTTCACATCTAAGCGTTGCCAATTAAAGCCGTTGTAGCCATGAAGATTAATTTACGATAACTTCATACTACTTTTTATTGCATCGAAAGATTAGTTGATGATCATAGACTAATGCGTATAATTACGTCACCAAAAATGATCACATGGGTTCCGAGGTTTTCCGCATAATTCCTAAAATAATTAAGCACCTCTTAAACATGCTCACATTATTCAAAAATTACACTATGGCACCTGCGACAATAGGCTTCCTTTCAATTAGTCCAAAATAGTTTCAACTAGGCATAAATGGCCCCTTAGAAAGACAAAGTTTACAAAAATGGTCACCTTTTATATAAAATGTTTCCTTTTTGGAACTACCTTTATAAAAGTTTGTCAATCTTACCCATTTATCATTATTTATTTTGTTTCTTTTATGGGCCTTTAATAAATTTTTTTAAATATAATTCAAATCAACAATTTCGTTATTTTTACTAACATTATGTTTGTTTATCATTTCTTATAGATTCTTGATACAAGGGGTAGTTTACCAAATCCTTATCCGGGCAAGTGTTTATCGAAAAAATTCAACACTATCACTTACTTACCAGGTAAGATTTTGGTCCACCAAAATGGTATCATATGCAACAATTTGCCTGGTAAGCCATAACCGTGGTAAAAGTCGTCGCCCTCACTTACTGGGTAAGATTCTCGATCCTTGCTTTCGCTTTTACCGGGTAAGATTCTGGTCCTTGTCATATGCATCCAATAAAGTAATGTGACTAAATAAGCACTTACCCCGATAAGTGTTTGTTAAACAACCCCTAAATAACTTCATGGTCAAAACTGATAAAACTACGATCGAACATCCCTCAAAATCAATGTCGCTGATGGAATGTGAATATAATCTAAATCAAACCGAATTTTGAATGGCAGAGATTTTACAGAAAATGGACAAGAAGCATTTTTTTTTTTTGTTTGAAAAAAATTAAAGATCAAAGGGAGAAGAGAAAGCTTGTATTCAATAAACTTTTATTTGAGAAAAATGATTCCCATTGGAAGGTAGTTGATCTAAAGGTTCTTTTCAATTAAGATTGATCCAAAAGTGAAGATCAACTTTGCTGTTACCCTTCTCACCATTAACTTTCATTCTTATTGGAAACCACCTATATATAATGCCAAAGTTAGTGAACGTTTCATTTTTCTCGCTTCTCATAAAAAATGTCATTTCTCACGTGGCACTCAACCCATATTTATCAACACTCTTTAAAGTTTTTGACTAAGGAACCTTTTTACCAAACGTTTACCCGGTTAATTGCTTATCAGCAAAATTCAATAACACTTACTTACCGGGTAAGATTTTAGTCTACCAAAACGACATCGTATGCAACAATTTATCCGGTAAACGCTTACCATGGTAAGAGTCGTCGCCCTCACTTATCGGGTAAGACTAATGGTCCTTGTTTCGCTCTTACAGATAAGATTTTTGGTCCTTACCATATTCACCGGTGAGGTAACATGACTTGGTAAACGCTTACCCGGATAAATGTTTGGTAAACGGCCCCTAAGACCCCGTAGGGTAATAAACCCCACCCCAAAACACAAAAGGATTCGAAATAGCAACATAGAACCAAAAAACAACTCCGATCTTTGATTTTCCACTTGTCACAATTCAGAAAGCCTTAAAATACTTCTCCTTCAGTGGGTTGTTGAATGTGATGGATACAAATAACTCTCACCCACAAGTCTTCTGATGTCTTAAAAGGAAATGACACATAAAACCATGCCTTTCTTTTCCCACTTGTCACTGGAAGTTCTCAATCCCCCTTTCTATGCCACATTGATTATCCTTGCAAGCAGACGTGGAATTATCCTCACCTATATACACATATGATATAAATTTTCCAACTTAGTTCTGAAGATATGGAAAGACATTAGCTAACAAGTTCATAGAGAAAGAGACACAGGTATTGGGTAAGGATACGACGTACCATGATAAATCGACATCGACGTCAAGGATCAGAAGATGATCAGCCGGTAGCAGTTGCCTTTTTCTACTGATACACTGTTAATGTCAAAGATGATGGGCCGACAGAAGTTCTCTCCGAAAGATCTCTAAGCTTCGGGCATGACCAAATATGAAGTTGCTTAAGGTAGGGGAGGTGTTGTAAAGCTTCTGAAATTGATTCCAAGTCCTCAAATCCTCTGATAAATAAAGAATTTAAAGATCGTGGAAGAAGAAAAGATGATGATGAAGTAGTATTGTCGCTATTCCTCACATCTTCTATCTCTGCAAACGAAACCACTCTTGAATTTTTGCCGTATAAATCCAGTTCAACAAGTGAGGTTGGGTAATTTTGCAGCCCCCACTCTGACATGCACTTGTTTAAGCATCCTATTCTTAGGCTTCTTAAATTAGGAGGCCACAACCCACAAGGAAAGGAGTAGTCCATGCTTGGACAATCATTTATCCACAACTCTTCTAAAGATGTGAGCCTTTGCAAATGCTCATGAGGAAATGACTTTAGATTCTTACAACTACTGATCCAGAGACATTTTAGGCAAAATAAGGGAAGAAAACCAAAACCTTTATCTGGAATGGTTTCTATGGTATCACAATTCCAGATTTTCAATGTGGTGAGATGAACAAACCATCCTTGAGGAAACAACCTCAAATTATCACAATTTTGGATGAAAAGAAACTTCAAAGTGGATGAGAACATAGGAGATTTCGAGATTTCCAACCTCTCGGTACTATTCGAGCAATTGTAATTCTCCAGCGTCTTGGAACCAAGAAGTTCCACTTCTCTAATGCATTTCATGCTAATCCCCAAATTAACCTCTTTATCCCCCAATGATACTAAATTTTTACAATCAGATACTTCCAAGTTTCTTAACCTTCCAAGAAACTTGGATGCCTCCGATTCTGATTCCCACAAATATCTCAATTCGTCACAATCTCTGATGCATATATCTTCAACCGCCCCAAGATCTTTTAAAACTTCTCCATGTAGTTGAGTAAGTCCTTTAATATTATCCATTGTCAACATCTCAATTGATGAGGACACACCAACCATGCTTCTTAACACCACTTCAAAACACCCTCCTATATGTAAAACCCGAAGTAATGGTAATGAATCAATCGACACTTCAACTAGTTTTGGACAATTTCCCATAGAAATGTCACGAAGACAAGGAAATGATCGGAAAGTTCCATCTTTCCCATCAATACTACTCGACCAACTCTCCCAACTTTCCATGTCAAAAAATTCCAAGATTTGAAGTGATGGAAACGCAATAGCATTGTAAGAATTAGTAGGTGCAAGTAACTCAGAACCCAAATTCTTCACCTTATCCATTCTTGACACAGACAACTTCCGAAGTGACTGCAAACTTCCAAGTGTGGGTAAATGTGTGCACCTTCTACAACCACGTAATACAAGCACTGTTAATTTATGAAACGAGGGATCACCAATCCAATTAGGAAATTTGGTTCCCTTGTAGAAGCAAATCTTCAAGTATCTCAACTTATGATGAGGCCTTAACCCTTCAAGTATGTCATATTCAATCGTCTCATCCTGAGAATCATCAAAGACATCACTCCATATCATCTTCAAATCAACAAGACCCTTCTTTTGTTGTAAGTTAGCATCCTTTGCTTGTATTGGATTTATCACTTTCTCCAATCCCATAATGGAAAGTCGACCTTGAAGTTCAGATAGGCCCTTAAGCTCGGATATTCTAAATCCATTAGCTCCTTCAATGATGACCTTGGGTAGAGTTTGTAGACTCGTCAACCCACCAATCCCTAAGGGCATCTTCTTCAACTTTGGAGTATCACTAATGTCAAGATGTCGCATGTTTATTAACTTCACAAAACTGATGGACAAGCTAGATAAATCATGACAACCACAAAGCAACAAGCTTTGTAGATTATAGAGGTCACCGATTTGTTCCGGTAATCGTTTGATGCCAGTTTTGGAAAAATTGAGGTATCGTATGTGCTTGAGATTACCAATGGATTGTGGTACACTAGTGATTGAATGATTACATAGGCTTAGCACCCTTAGGAATTGTAGTTGGGGAAGTAATTCGACAAGAACATCGTCTGATAAATGGAAACTCTGCCAAAGATTTAATGGCACAGGTAAGAAGGTTCGCAAGCGTCTAGCTCTTTGTAATTCCTTGAACATTCTAAATGTTCCATATGCTTGACCTATTAATGAAATGTGACGACATTTCTCCAAAGATTCACTTCTACAATATATATCATTATCATGCAACCTAAAGAAAAACTCTCCTGCAACATTTGTGGCCAGGTCGTTAATCAAGTCATGCATTATATGTTGTGATTGGTCATTAGTTGAAGGCTGAAAAAATGACCTTGACTTCAGCTCTTCGAAATACTCGTGACCCAAACTCTCCATTGATTTACTGACATCTGATTGGTACAAAAACCCTTCTGCCATCCACAGTAGGACTAGTTCCTTCTTGTCAAACACATAGTCCTTGGGAAATACGGAGCAATAAGCAAACAAATGCTTCAAATGTGGAGGGAGATCATGGTAGCTTAGTCTTAGAGCCGGAAGAATCTGATTTCCATCCTCTAAATTCCATATCTCACTATTCAACACCTCCTCCCATTTACTATCATCTGTTTTTGTCCTCAACATCCTCCCTAGCGTTATCAAAGCCAAAGGCAATCTGCCACATTTATTCACGATGCTTTCACCATGCCATTTAAGTGTTGGATGTTTGTCAAAGTTTTGTTCATCTAGTGCATATTGAGCAAATAGAGACAAAGCTTTTTCATTTGACAAAACCTTTAGATTGTAAGGTTGAAAAGAGTTCATCACCGTTGCAACCTTGGTCTTTCGAGTTGTCACAATAATTTTACTTCCAGGTGCCCCTACAGCAAAAGGGCTTTGGAGGAGTTCCCACTCCCTGTAGTCTTCATTCCATACATCGTCTAGAACAACTAGGAACCTTTTCTTCCATAGTTTTTCTTTAAGTGCCACATGAAGAAGATCTAAATTAGCAAATTCTTGATTCGTCCCGCCTACAGCTTGAAAAATAGCCTTGCTAATATTAAATACATCCAACTCTTCAGAAACACAAACCCATGCCCTGAGTTCAAAGTGATCCTTCACTTTCTCTTCGTTGTACAAAACTTTGGCAAGAGTGGTTTTGCCTATCCCACCCAGACCAACTATGGACAAGATGTTGACATTTTGATTACATGCTTCATTCCCCAATAACTTCCCGAGCAATGCTTCTTTATCCCCTTCCCTACCCAATACTTTGGACTCATCAACCAATGAAGTTTCCTCCAATCGTCTATTTCTTCTATTCGACCTTTCAACATTCACATTTGCATTCAAACCTAGAGTATTTCTCTGCTCAGCAAGATTATGCAATTTGATGGTAATCTCATCTAGCTTTGAACTCATCTTACGACCATACATAATGTTACGGGGAGTGAAATTAGTGCAACAAGTTGGGATTAACTTCAATACCTTATTGGTATCGGTGCTCACATGAGATTCTCGATTCAACTTGCGATGCAAAGATTCGGTGGCTAAATCATCCAATAGATCGTCTATTTCGTAAGCCAAATCCTGGAGATCGTGCAACCACAAATCAACACATCTCTCTTTTATCTGCTTTTGGCCTGCATCGGCAAGCACGGCTAGGATCTGGGTCAAGGTCTTCTTCCATTTGTTTAACTGAGAATTGATTCCTCGAGATTGAGCGAGTTTGATCAAGTCAGCTGAGGCCAGTTGGTCAAATAACACAGTGATGAATGCGGTGAGAAAGATTTCTGCAATAGCCATTGCAGATGAAAAGGGTCGTTTGTTTCTTTTTGGGGGTTTTGATTTCAAAGAAAAGCAGTGAGATGAAGCAAAGGTCAGAGACTTATCCAAAGACTTTGGTACAAATCTATCGACTCAAAAAAAACTAATTTTTTAATTAAAGGTTGAAATTGGGGGAATAAATCATGTTATGAAAAATTAAAAGGCATACGTGTGGTTTTTTTTAAGGGATGTTTGGATTGCTTATTTGAAATTATGTTTTTATAAAAGTTTTTATTAATTTATTATAAGTTAAAATTTATTTATTTTTTTTTAAAATTATTATCAGTTTGACATTGATATAAACTGTTTATCTAAATACTCAAAAGTGTTTATTACTAGTGTCACACCGGAACAAGTCAATAAATTATTTTTATATGTAATCTCAAACACCCCTTGTATTGTTTATTTTTTTCTATCAATATAAGTTTTTATATAATATATAATGCAACATTGTTTTAGTATTTTCTTTTTATAGAATATGTAAAATTACGGTTTTTAACAAAGGCATAACATTACGTGACCAACAATATTCCTTAAAAATGATGTTCGTTTGAATCTCTAAGGTTCATCTGTAAGTTCTTCTTTTTTTTTTTTTGAGTGTTAATTTATGATGTATAAAATTAGTTGGAGTGTATATGAATTAGTTTGAACACCTATGGTTATCAAAATTTGATGGATTTCTGTCTTTTTCTTTTCCAATAGAACTCATAACAATTTAGATATTATAAAATAATACAAATGTTGTTTGTTGTTAAGAGGGAAATAATACTAATGTTTAAAATAAAAGATGTAATGAGGATGGATATATATATATATATATATATATATATATATATATATATATATATGGGTTCGTTTAAGGAAGAACTGAATAGTTTGTGGTAACCGTGAGATCCAATCTCAACCACAAATCAATATATAAATTAGGAAATTTATAATTATGAATTAAAATTTTAATGCAAAGACATTTTAGGTATTTTCTCTCTCCGTTCTCCGGTGATACAACTGTGATACCTAAAATTATTGACTCTATTAAACAAAAGATACATTGTGATACTCAATCATATATAAGATGCATTGTGATACCACTGTGTTACATCTCCGATCGACCACACAAACAACCTCAATGTGATATCCAAGCACATATATGATGTATTGTGATACCATTGTGGTATCACCGGAGGACGGTGGCCGGAGAGAGAAGAGAGGAGAGAGGAGAGTTTTTAAAATATCAAAAATATCCTTGCATTATAATTTTAATTCAAAATTACCAAAATTATATTGTACAACCAATGCAACCCAATTAATTGAGATATTTATGAAAATAATAAGAGTATGATTTGAACATTTATGGAAAATTATTAGAGTTCATTAATTATGATCAATACTTTATATTATGAAATAATAAAAACTTTTATTAAATTACATATTCATGAAATTAAATAAACGATTGAAATTGAGTTGTATTAATTATACAAATATAAAAAGGTTATCTCTCTATATATCCCCATTGCAAGCCATGATAGCCTAATAGCCATACTTGATATTAATTGACAAGTTATTGAATTAATAGTTGACCGTTTCTTTGTTTTAGTAGGTATTAATGACCCACACTTTTGGTTTAGACTTCGAAAAACAAATTAAATTTGAGTTATTTTTGGTTTCAATTGAATTCAAAATGAAAATATGAATTGGGTTAAAAGTTTTACAATTCACGATTCAAATTGGATTTAAAATTTTTGTCTGTAATGACGAAGGAAAAACCGGGCCGATTAAACAAATATTCTGTAACACCGCGGTTTTACGGTTATAGTATCAAAGCAATAGTTTAAGTGAACTAGGTATCAAAAATGGTATCAAGACTTAAACTAGGCGTTCATGTTATATAGTAACCTGACTCTGATTCCATAACTGTAACCACAATGTTACTATTCATTAATTGATGTTTATTCATAATTGTGCGTACATAAACTACCACATGGAAAAACAACAAATTCAATGACGATGAAAAGAAAAGATGGTGAGAGGGGAGATGCCACTTATAAACACCATCGGAGGGTTATCTTGGAGGATACCTGCTTAACTGTGCATACTTTAGGAGGAATGGCTTAATTTGAATGAGGGTCGGTGGTAGTCAAGACTAGATATTTATATTCATATTTAATCTCATATTCTATATTCAAATTTACATGTTTATGTTAAAAACAGGAGCATCGCAACTTAATTGATTTTCTTTCGCTTGCTTGAGTTGGAGCATAATCTCACTAATTGTAGGTCATTTTTCTCGAGATTCGTGCACGCATTGATATGCAGTAGCTAAGACTTTGTCCAATGTTTTTGTTTGGATAGTCCTTTTATTATGTGATCAATAATTGTGTGTAATACTCTTTTTTTATAGCAAGTTCAAGCCAAATGACAGAGGAATCGTCTCTCGTCATGATATTTGGATGCACATGCTAACCTTTCACACAATACTTCGAACAACACCACCCCAAATGAATATACGGTGTCAAGATACATGTCCTTTCATATTGTGGGTCACAGTAACCATATGTGCCTCCGAGGTTAGTGACCACAAAGGTGTTTTATTGATTTGCTAAACTTATCTTGGATAACCCAAAATCTGAAAGTTTTACTTTTCAATTCGCATCCAATAAAATGTTCATGCTTTTAATATCATGATGTATTATTATGTGCTTAGTTGCCAAATGATATGGTATTTTTCCGACGACTGATTAGTTGGAGGCGAGTTTTGGTGTTTTTCCGACGGTTGATTGGTTGGAAGGGAGTTATGAGGTTGTGATGGTCGATGATTGACGGTGGTTGATTTACCTGACATATGATTTGGTGTAATCAAGACTGAACTAATATGAAACTTCAAATCAAGATATAAAGGTACTGAAATATAAAGCGGGATGCCCTCTCTATGTATATAGTGTGACCCTTTTATCTATGCGGTTGTTTATGAATAGAGAAATTTATTAAAATAACTATTTTTCAGGGTTGGTTTCACCTTCTTTCCATTTTCTTTTCAAGTTCCCCAAAATAGCCATAGGTCCGCAAAACTCATGTCCACAATTGCGGACCCAGCTAGAAGACAAAAAATTACACTTTCAACCCCTGTCCACAAAAAAAATACATTTTTCACCTAGGTCCACAAAAAAAAATTACATTTCTCACACAGTCTGCATTTTTTTTTACATTTTTCACCAAGGTCCGCAAATAAAAAATTAAAATTGCGGACCTAGGGCTATTTTAGTTGACTTCTTTCCATGGGATACCCTAGTTAGAGCAATGAAATCGACAGCACGTCCTTATACAATGCATAAGGCTCTTGGCTGGATAATAGGAACAACTTTTAATTTTGTAAAAAATGAGTAAGAGGTAAAATCAAACGGTAAAAAAATTTATTTTAATTAATTTTCTTTATGAATATGATCAAGCGGATTTAAGAAGTAAAACTAATAAAGACTTGCTTTAAACAAATTAAAGATTAATAGTAATTAATTACCAAGGACGTTACAATCTTTTTGTAGGCCCTGTTGTATCCAGAGTTTTTGACGACATTACATAAGAGATAACAGCATACATATACGTTAAGCACGAAATGACACTAATCCTAACCGATCAATAATTTAAACCTAACCTAAATCTAAACTGATCAATAATCTGACACTAATCCTAACCAGAACTTTCATAATTCAAGTCATGGAACTATGCTATGTTAACTACTTGCACATACAGATTTTTGCTAAAGCTGCATCAAAGACTAACTGTTTAGCCTTTTGCATGTCTAACTAGTTTTTTTTTTTTTTTTTTTAATTAACCTGAATATCCAACCCACTATGCGAGCCGATTAATCCCAGGACGACTATCTGCTTTGCAAATAACGCGGAGCCACCGCATTTGAACCTCCGTGGCCACAAGGAGATTTTTATTCCTCCTTTGATTTGAACCTGGGACCTCCAGGTACTTTTGACCTTTGGAGTCAAGCTCAAACCAATCAGGCACCACCCTTGTGGTTATGTCTAACTAGTTTTACACATGTTGGTGATAGGTGAAAGCCGAAAAATATTCAATCTCTGGATTTTTAAGTTAAAGATGGCATCTTCATTTACATAATGCAAAGCATAAACAAGGGTAGTAGCAGTGGTAAACATTGGTTTAAACAAACAAAAAATCAAACATTTGTTCATCAACCAAAAACATAAAGAAGCCCTAAATAGATCAAACGGTAACAAATCATTATTCATCAAATAAAAACCCTAATCTTGAAGCCCTTAGACATAAACGAATGGTAATGCACATACCTGAAATTGTAGATGGAGACTGATTAGAGCGATATTGCCGACGACAAACAGAGGAAGGCGAACGAGAGAATGAGGACGAATCACAGGAGATAATAAGTGGTTAGTAAACATTCTACTTCTTATCAAGGTAAGAGGCTCTTATTCAATAAGTGTCAATAAGAAGCAAGTAAACAGCCAGCCCTGTAGTAATTTACTCTTTATTTTAGATTATGCTAATTATGTTATAAAATTATTCAAGATCCACCTCTCCTATGAAATTCCATAAACTTGAAAGCAAGAACAAAATATTACACGCTCCAGGACAATGCTCTTCATGTCCTCGATCAATCGTCTGTATCTATTTTTCCGATTCTACTCTTAAATTGTTGCATATTTAAGTCATAATCATATGTTATAATTATTACACATCCTCAACATATGTCCATTTTGAGAGCATTAACAAAAATAATCTTCAAACATATTGACTCCTCTGAATCATTATGGCTTCGACAAGTGACCACATAATTTGGTTTGATCTTTAGCAGATAATGATGGGAATTTTTGGTGACCCTAGTCGTAGCTCTCGCAATCGCAATGGCGATGGCGATAGCAATAACAATAGCGATGAAGGATGGTAGCATGTTCAAGCCAATTGGTGGAGGAATCATCGCTCGTCCTGATACTTAAAAACACATGCCATGCCAATCTTCCTCAGAAAACTTCAAACACTACCACACCAAACGAATATACTTTTGATTCTTTTGTTAAAATGCATGTTCCTTCGTAGTGTGGGTCACAACGACCATGTGTGCTGGCAAGGTTAGTGACCACAAAAGTGTTATCTTGATTTGCTAGACATATTTTAGATAATCCAAAATCTAAAAAATTAACGTCCCAATTCTCATCCAAAAAACGTTGGAGCTTTTTATTTCACGATGTATTATTATGTGTCTTTCTGACGCATGATTGTGATTAAATCCAATGCAGAGGCAGCACCAACACATATATTAAGACGTTTCTCCCATGATCGTTGTGCCAACATAGCACAGTCACACACAAGTTTGATGTGATCCCAGTTTCTGGTTCGGGATTTGAAATTGATTGTTCATAAAATTTGAGTTTTGGTTCGATTTGGATTTTCAATTTTGGTTCAAAATATTTATTAGATGATAACTCAACTCAAAAGAAAAGAATAGAAGAAAGGCTTAAGATTACTATACGTTTTGTTCCAGAACCAAGCATCATTTACATAATTATTCACACATGTATCCTATGTGAACTTTTTGCATTACACACGTATGAAGATCCCGAGTTTATGAACAAAACGAATACATATTTACGTTTGTGGCGGAAGATCCATCATTCCTTGCTGTTGGATGATCGGTCTTTCTTTTGTCCTCCAAGAATACGAGAAATCTGCAAACCTCTGCTGAACGCTTGGTTGAAGAGCATTCGTGTTTGGAACTCCGACACAAATGGGAACCAAGCGAGAAATGCAACTGGGGTGAAAAGAAGTAACCCCATGATGATTTCGTAGTATTGTGCTAAGGTTCTGATTGAAGACCAAATTCCAGATCCTCGCAGAAATGGTCTCAGAGCTTGTGCAATCTGATAGAGAAGACTAATTAAAATTACTAATAGACAACAACACAATTTATATACTCTTTCCTATCATAATGTAACTCCAATGTTCGGAATGAACAAATCAAAACCAAACGAGCCCACGCCGGAGCTGAGGTCTGGTGGTGGAATGTATGCGGACCTAACCTCTACCAAAAAAAGTAGAACGACAGTTTCCCACAGAGCCCTGGTTTGTGAAAAATGTGTGAAATAAAGAGAGTTTTCCCAAGAAGAATGAGGAAATAGTAAACGAAGGCTCGAAAAAGAACTTGAAACAAGAAAATCAAGTCAACATACAAACATAAGTAGGTACAGGAAAACGTAGTCAAGGAAAGAAAAGATGATCACATGCCCCTAGTCCTCTGGGAACTTATTTTGGGTTCAAGATTCAAGGTATCTCGAAAATTAGAATTTTGGTTCAATATTTCTTTCGAAGTGCTTTTTGTAGTTTGAGATTGGTGCAGAGATTATTTTTGCAATCCAGGGGTGTTCACGGGAACAGCTTCTCTACCCCCCTGGAGTAGAGGAAAGGTCTGTGCATATTCTACCCTCCCCAGACCCTATTCCGTGTGGCACTTACTATGTTGTTTAGTTTAGTTTGGTTTGGTTATCCAACTCTTGACAAATACAATAACGCAAATGAGAACTGAGAAATAAAATTACTGACCAGAAGCAGTCCCCAGCCGGTTGGCAGGAATGCAAGGATGCATATTACTATATCTTTCACTGTCATATGAGGTAGCGCAATCAAGGTAATCAGAGTTGAAATAAATGCAACAAAGATAAATCCCTGAATCAACCGGAACATAAGCTGATAATCCGCACTCAATTTCTTTCTCCAAAATGACATTGCCTGAAAATATATACCAAAAGTTAAATGAATCCAACATGCTAATCAAACTCGAGTCACAAAGTTTTAAACAAAAAAGTGTCGTAGAATAAAGCTAAGTGAGGGGTTGCTTGGTTGTTTTTCCTTTAAGATGTCTGTATGGATTAACCTAAATTTCCGAAGCCCATCAACCCAATACCAAAAGCCCTGATTCTTGAAGTTCCATATATAGAAGTATCAAAGAATATGCTATTCTAATTGAAAAGGAAATTAAGCGGTACTCTTATGTAACACACCTTCATCACAACCAGTCCTCCAATGATCACAAGCCATGAAATTCCATAAACCTGAAATCAAGAAGCAAAAGTTGGGTTGAGTTGCTATTGAAAACAGACACTTTGTTGAGAAAAAGTGGAGACATGAAATGTACCAGAAAACTTTTGCTATCCGTTAAGCTGAGGTGATACACGAGTCCAAACTGATAAATAAAAAACCGAAGCGCCAACAAGATCTCCATAACGTTACCCCTTACCCCCGAAGATATAAGATGCTCTTGTTCTTTTTCCCACCAAGATTCCCAACTTTTATCAACAGAGACACCAATTCCTCCATGGTTACTTATCCATTTACTCCAATCTGTCCAATCATCAACAATTTTTTGCCATTCAAACCCCGAGGGGTTGAAAAGGAAGGGAGCAAATAGCCACGATCCGACCATAAACCACATTGATATTGTAATCAATATGTATGCAAGTGAACCTCTATAAGATTGACCAAAAATTTCATATACAACAAGTAAGATCAGAAGTTCAATTCCTTTGACAAAGTGGCTTCGAGAATAGAGTCTGTAGTTCTCAGCAAATTTCGCATGAAACACAACAAATCCACGGCCTGTGGCTCTGTATTGTGCACCCCCATGAAGCAAAGTTCTTCCATAATAATGGGTTTTTGTTCCAAGAGAAAAGGTAAAAAACACAGAAGCCAACTGTAGTTGCATGAGGATAAAATCGGTAAATGCTCTATGAAACCCTCTTTCGAGTCCTATTTCCATCATCATTGGCAATGCCATAAGAAAGCCAATTTGAACAAAAGACTGTGAAGCAAGAGCTACTTGAAGGGGTTTATCATTCACAACTTGCCTATTAGTACTCAACTCTCTCTCCAATCCACTGAGAACGAGATAAAGGCGGCCGTAGAGGAAGACATATACAATAATCACAGTTAGCTGCCATAAAACAAATCTTGATGGTCAGAGACTATGCATTATATTCATGAATGAAACTCCTATAGTGTATATTCATCAATGAATATAAACTATATTCATCAATGAATTACATCTTACCAATGTATTAAAATAGAATCCCACAGTGGTGAAATAGCAAGAGAGCATGCGAAAGAAATCAAAGCGGTGTCCAAGCCTATATATATCACGACTCATTGTCTGCTCCCCGTTTCCATTGGCTATCTTTGCCTCAAACAATGAGATCTGGTTGAGACCGACATCTCTTCCTTTACCAACTTGTATGTATTCATGATGAGTAACATTTCCTCCACGTAATGTAGAATTGAAACCTGAGAAGAATGAAAAATCCGAATAAAAGACAGGCAGGTAACAGTGATACATGGTGAAACATAAAAAAGAATCTTCAACAGCAAAGACTTGCCTGCAAATATATCCTCACTCAGGTTAATGATCCTAGAAGCCTTGCTCACACCCCCTCTGGTCAAGTGAAACAGTCTTTCAAACACATCTGGATGCCCGTAGTGAAATCTGACTCTGAATGAGCATGGGCACATGAACTAGATAATGAGTTTAAAGATAAAGATAAAATACTAATTTCATTTTCAACATAATGAAAGGAATTTTACTTTATGTAGTTGTCTACATCATTCATCAAACTTGCAATGAATCAAAAAAGAAATAAAATATCATGACTTACTAGAAAACCAACAACATTGTTGAGAACAACATATAAATGATGAAAATATTTGAATTAAAGGCCAATAGTACATTGTAAAACAATGATATATAACATTTAGGACTCATTCGAACTTTCACACTAGCATAAATGGAATAATATAAGAGAAAGAAATGCAAAAGATGTAAAAGCAGATAATTATATGATATAGAATGTTCATGTGGGCATTACTTGATAAGAGCCAATGGTAACAAAAACCGAGGTTAACTGGGTTTCCCCTTTTTGTTATGGGTGTCCTTTCAGATTTTCCAGAAAGGGATGCAAACCTTTTTACAAACACCAAATCCTTGAAGAAAGAAATTATTCCACATAAAATTGCTTGAGTTAGATAAAATTTTGTCGTGTCATATTCTAATTCTAGCAAAAAGGAGAAAGAGGTTGAATTGAATTCAGGGTGAGTTTAGCATGCAAAGCTACATAGTATCATGTGATATTAAAATATAAACACAAATTAAAAAAAATCTTAGATGGTGCAAGTTAAAACAGTTATCAGACACACAAATACATCATTCAATCTGCCAAAAACACGAGAAAATTTCATTTTGAGGTTAGTAATGTAGAGGGAACTAGAGAGCTGTTGGAAGATGCTTACACTGAAAAAGCAAACTCAACCCAACCATTCTCAAAGACTTTAAAAAATTGCTTAGGCATTTGATATGAGTTGAAACTATACTTATAATGTTGGTAAATCTAAACTATGAAAAGACTGTAAAGCTTACTTTAACGGGTTAGCCAACAATCTTTGTCCAATGGTTACGAAACTTGTCTCCTGATTTGACATGAACCATGCAAGAGAAGAAACACTGAAAGCAGAAATCATTAAAAGAAAAGGTTATTAACCACAAACTGCACATATATCATGCAGTCCTTACAATTGAGTAAACAGATTTAGGAGGTATTCGATACAATTGAATAAGTGTTGAATGACAAATAAAAATTTGAATAATTTAGACACTTACTAGTTTTAATGTTTTGAATGAAAAATGTTGTTTGATAAGTGTTTCACATGGAACATCTAAACATCTGAAATTTATCATCTTAACCTTTCCACTTGGACTTGCATATAAAAATGTACATCCTAACAAGCATAAAGAACGATTATTCTTTGAGCTTGGCTCCAAAGGTCAAAAGTACCAGGAGGTCCCAGGTTCAAATCCAAAGGAGGAATAAAGATCCCCTTGTGGCCACGGAGGTTCAAATGCGGTGACTCCGGGCTATCTGCAAAGCAGGTAGTCGCTCTGGGATTAGTCGGCTCGCATAGCGGGTTGGATATCCAGGTTAATAAAAAAAAACGATTATTCACATATATTTTGGTCTGATGATAGCTAAAAAGGTGTTCTAAGTAGAAGTAGTAAACCAATAAGAAGAAGAAGGTAACTAAATGAAATGAAATGGAAGATGGAGATAGAAAGAAAAAATAGAAGTACTCCTCCAATCAAAAGAAACAAGTTGTAACACTTTCCATTTTAGGTTGTCCAGAAAATAAAAATAAAAACCCACTAATAAGAACAAAATAAAGAAATTTCCGGACCACAATCAAAATTACTAATTTCCAGTAATGATTACTAAAAAGGCTTAAAAAGTACTCCCTCCGTCCCAAAATAAGTTGCACAAAGAAAAATGCACAGTTTTAGGGAAGTGTAATTATTAGAGTTTTAGTGAACTAAATGACCATCTTAGCCTCAATACAGAGGGAGTAATAAATGATCCATCTCATAATTAAGGGTAGAATAGGAAAGTGTGCACTTATTTTATAAAAGTGGATACTTATTTTGGGACAAACTAAAATAGAAATGTGCACACTTATTTTGTAAAGAGGGAGTAAATTAGGATTGAAACTTCCCAAAACAAGAAATGTTGCATAATACTCCCTCAATCTAGAAAAAGGATTGCAAAACTTCCCATTTTGGGTTGTCCAGAAAATACGGCAACACATCCTTTTTTGGAATATTTTCAATCTTAATTTACTTTTAGGCCCATTAGTAATTACTGCCAGAAATTAGTAATTTGATTGTGGTCTACAAGTTCATTTTGTTGTAACTAATAGGTATTTTAGACATTTGCTAAATAATCAAACATCTTTATTAAACTATACGCCACGAGTATATAAAACTAAAAAAAACAATGAAGAAAAAACAAAAAGTACAAAAAGAAACTAAGTGTAAGAGGCTAGCTAGTATAGTAGGTTGAAGAAGAAAGGGATATTTTGTCCAAAAAGTAAATCAGACCTGCACTAACTTGCACTTATGTATTATTAATTTGTTTTGTAAAACCATGGGTATCCAGCCAGCTTGGGCACACCCAAACGAATCTCATAGGGCCCTGATGTTAACAGCCACGCAAACCTCCGGTCTCCCCTGAGGGACCTCGAACTAGTGACCACCAAGGAGCAAACCCAAGGCCACCCAGTTAAGCTACTCCAAAGGGTCACTACAATAAAATCGGGTTTATAGGATGCCAAAAATGTTTAAGTGTCCTAATATGTTTTTATAAGACACTTTTCTAAATAATGTCATAAAAAATTTAATAGGACGCTTTAATCCAAAATGTCCTAAACAACTTGTTAAGACGCCAAATAGGATGCACGTTTGTTTGATCCTATAAATTTATCTCCTATAAAGCAGTCTATTAATTAGGATGATTTTGGCGTCCTATAAACCCAACTTTGTTGCAGTGGGTTTTATGTATTTATTCTTAGGAAGCAAGCAGAATCACTAAAACCTATTCAGAAATGAACATTCTTAAATAAAATGTATAGCCAGATAAGTGGTTGAAAGATTAAGAGCCTCAGTAAGTGTCAAACAAAGGGCTCATTGGTGTACCTGCCAGTGAATATATGCTCCCTAAGCCCAAGTATAGTAGGGGTCCGGACACCATGTGTGACAAGAAACTCTTCAAGCAAATTCCTCATTTTAAAAGCTTCTTCCATGTAGTTGTCCTGTTGATATGACATTAAGCAGGCTAAGAGATTGAAATTAGCAGCACTTCAAGGCATAAAAAAGAAGTACCTGGTTCATATCTATTGTTTGCAGGCCTTCTCCACGTGTAAAAACTATTGCATGATTTTGGTTCTCCGGCTTTCCCTCACCCAATATGGCAGGTCCTGGAAGTTTTATACGATATATAACCTGAACAAGAGAAAATGCTTAAGTTTATTAATATTCTGTCATGTACGGACATAAATAAATCCTATTACAAAGCATGACATGATTATGTTACAAAAAATGATTATGCTCTGGTGACGTTGCACCTTCTTCGCCTTTTTTGTATTATCTTTTGAAATGTAAGTATCAACATTCTGATTAAGAAAAAGTAACTAAGGAACAACCATAATATTTCTTATACTTATTAATATAAAATGCTACCACTGTCCTATATAAGACATTGGAAATCGTACCTGATCTTGGTTTTGAACAAGGTCAGAGGAGTCACTAGACCTCGGTACAGCTTTCACAAGAACTGAATAATAAGAAACATGGTCAACCACTTTTTTCAATTTTTCATTGCTGGTTTCTTCAACCTCATCAATATAGGCAACACGAAGAGAAGGATACCTGCTCATGAATGGAAGGATGTCCAAGGTTAAAACACACAATAACACAGACTTTTTGGCAAACTAGTTGATAAGCTAGCAGTCGGCTAATAAGCTAGTTGATAAACTAGTCACGTTTGGATAAGCTAGATGACAATGTAAATGACCTACAAAGATATGTAGAAATTTAATTGGCAAAAGTAAGGGGCCTAACTGGAAAAAGGTGGAAAAAAAACCTAGAGCCTACTGAAACGCTATCTGAAATGGCTTTTCAAAAAGTTAGCTTATGGGTTACCAAATAGGGCTTTTTCCATAGGTGCAAAAAACAAACTTAGCTTATGGTTTCCAAACGTGGCCTTTATGTAAAACTAAATTTTTGACAAGTCATACGTCGTCATGAGCCTCAGAATATCATGGGCACGAGCATCTGCTGATCGTTTCTGGAGGCCATATTTTTGGCAAGATACCACATAAGAAAACTTCATATCCACCACTGCTTGGCATTGTGTCTTTAATGATCTTTCATTGCTTAAATGCTCTTCGGTATTAGATTCAGCAGCCTTGTAACCTTTCATCAACTCTGCAACGAAAAAGAGGATTTATATAACATGCTCATGGTAAACATCATGAAGAAGAGTAACATGTATACTTACCCTCATCTTTTGCCATGTCAAGGAAAGCTTGAAGTTCCAATGCTTGCCGATAGTACATCATGCCTCGAACTAATTTATGTTCAACGTGGAGAGAATTTACAAACAACAAATAATCATTTATTATCATCATTAGTGTTCCTTCCATCCCATAAAAAATTTCAAAACTGACTTTGCATCCATGTGAATAAAAAACATGACTATCAGAAAATTATCTAAAGTATCCATCTTTAGTGACAAAACAGAAGAATGTTATTTATTTTTTTAAGAACTCTTTGTTTTTAAATTGAAATAAATCCTGCAGCCTAAAATCAATTACACAAATACTTTGTAATGATGAGCCAATGATAGAAAAGCAAATTGCATGAAAATGCAACATATTTGGTATTATTCCTATTTTGTGTAATGTGCTTTCGAAACCTTCATTTTGGTGCCTCGTATGTGATATTTCAAGCGATCAGACCAAAGAACATTACACAAAATAGGAATTGAACCAATATACATTGCATTTTCATGCAATTCTCTGATGTAAACCAGGTAAATGTTTGAGATGTCACCTCTGATGTACCAAAATGAAGGTTTTGAAATTATGTTACACAAAGTAGAATCTGACCGAAGTACATTGCATTTTCATGCATTTTGCGCAAGAAAGAAATGTTCCAATATTTTGAGCATTGCACAACAGAATTGCAGTTTTAGAGGAGAGAGGAAGCATTTTTTTTATTAACCTGGATATCCAACCCGCTATGTGAGCCGACTAATCCCAGGGCAACCACCCACTTCGCGGGTAGCCCGGAGTCACGGCATTTGAACCTCCATGGCCACAAGAGGATTTTTATTCCTCCTTGGATACGAACTTGGGACCTCCAGGCACTTTTGACCTTTGGAGCCCAAGCTCAAACCAATCGGGCACCTCCCTTGTGGTTAGAGGAAGCATTTTTCCTGTCATGGTTGTTGGATTTATCGACGAAGACAACGGATAACCTTCGAACTTGCGTATTTATCAAAACCAGTTCAGCCCCCCCCCCCCCCCCAAAAAAAAAAGTTACAAAGTCAATAGTTTCTGATAAGTTAGTCACTTACCAGTTTTAGTTAGCGTTTGGCCTCTATATGATGCCCAATGGCGAAGTTCGTCCGCCATATCTGGAGCAACTTTCAGTTCATCTTCACTTGTGAAAGGTACCCGCTCAAGGAAATTGTCCCATTCATCTGTATATCACATATTTAGGCATTATCATATCACATGGATTTTAACAACGAAGAGAAAACAGTTAAAGAAAACTGACCTGGGTAAATTTTCTGCAAGTAAAAGAGAATGGAAACCCCGTCTTCATTTTCCTGTCGCAAGGTATCCATGGAGAAAAGGACATCCTCTTCGAAGTAAGGAGTAAGAACCCTAAGATAAAACAAGTAGTACAAAAAAAACATTAGGCATCTTTATCAATGAATATCTATTAAAATTAATTTACATTCAAGGGCGCATTTGCTATCATCTACCAGAAACAAGCATGTTTTTCCCAAATTACTGGGATGATGGTACTTGAGTTAATCCAAATGATGAATAATCCTCAAACAGGTATCTACACTCCACAAAAAAAATCAAACCCTTGGATCATAGATTCAGGGGATATTGATCATATGACGATACATATTTACCTTATCCTTTCCTTGTTTTTTTAGTATATAACATTTACATACAGCATTTGCAATAAATAAACTCACACATCCTCCTCACCTTTAGTGAGTTTTGAACCCCTGACCTCTTGGGAAGCCAAAGGATCAGATACCGCTAGGCCAAAGGCCCTTTGGTTGTATTTTCCTTGTTCTGGTTGTCAAAAAATTGAATCTGTAAATGAATCTCTTTCGACCATTGTAGGGAGAAGTTCCATTGTTATCATGACCCTACATAATGTCTTACATGTTCCAAACCTAGTTTGCAAGTAACCTTCAGTCAATCGATTAACCAATGGTCTTCAATGTCAATTAACTTTTACATCTACTGCTTGTACTTTTCAGGACCTTCATTTGGGGAAGATGATTGAAAGTGCTAAGGAAAGCGGAGGTAAAAGAGGTACACGATCATCATGGAGGAGGTAAATCAGCGAATGCATCCGATTGGTAGAGGAGCAGTGCCCAGGCTCAAACCGGGACCTCACTCGTATGGATTACACCCACACCTCTACCATATGAAACAATCTTATGGCACTTTAGATCAGTGATCTTAGTTTTGGATACTTAAAATATTTGTGTCCTGCTTTATTTAAGAAAATAACAACAATCTGCGGTTTCTCATCTTACACTGAAGCTGAGTATTGTGCTATGCCATCTACTACTAAACAGATCATTTGGTTACAATGGTTAGTTGCAGAATTCGGTGTCTCTCACTATTACCCCGTCCTATGTATTATGAAAATCAAAACACCATCCATATTGCTAGCAGTATAGTTTTCCATGAACACAGCAAGCATATTGAGATAGATTGTCATTTTATGTCACTGGCTAAAGCTTGGCGCCATTACCTTGCCTCTTGTTCCTTCTTCTTTGCAGCTTGCAGACTTCTTTACTAAGTCACATACGCCATACGGTTGCTTCTTGTTGTCGCATCATGAATTTTGAATCAAATAAGGATATTTTAGTCTTTACGATATTGATAGGGTTTAGATACTTTAACCTATAGTATACAATGGTTTGTATGTAGAACCCTATTGTAAAACCCTAGCCTTCATTTACATCTTCTTTGCATCTATTTGTTCTTCTTATTATCGAGAGCCACTAGGACCTAGAAGGGGATTAAGTGCAGAAGCTTTTACTTAAAACACTATTTATTACGAGGATAAACCTTTAAATGCTATAGTCTATGAATATTGTTTTTGACCTTCTAACTAATTCAAGGAATATACTTGGGTTCCTTTCATAAGTATCATTTTCCTCCATTCTTCATCTTGTGGGTCCCATCTACATTTCTGTTCACACCAAGTAGATGGGTTCCCACAACCACATCTTAATTATCCTCACAATATATGGGACCCACAGAATGGAAGTGCTTGATGGCCAAGAGACCTTATTTTCACACAAATAGACCAGGGGCTGTATTGTAAGCATTTCAGCTGACATTGATTTGCTGATCACATTTATCAAATATAATTTAGTAGTAAATAGATGGCACTACAAGAATTGTCCTAGGTTTAGATTTTATGCAACAATCCACCACTAAATGGATGGCCCACAGTCCTTGAAAGTTGAACCTGTCAGTTATTCAAGTCAAAACTCCCAAAAAATGCACAAAATTGACACATGAGCAGCAAACTTACGAGAAAGATATCATGTTTCGGACTTTGGGTGCGACAGGCATATCCATAAACAATGAATTTGAGAAGAAAGAGATACGCCTTCTGGCTTCTATGTTTGATGGCACATCCATAGCAGATTCCTTTTCAGTGAGCAAGAGATGAAGCCTTCTTATCTGGAGGCAATGGCAAGCATGGTTTACATATGAAGATATTTAGAAGAAAAAAACCCAAGTTAACAGACAAATAGGCCCCACTTTATCATAACCCAATTTCATTGATTACCGTAGTGACTACTTTTGAAACAATATGAAATAAAAAGAAAAGAATCGAGTAAATTATGTACTTCCACTTTCTCATGCTACAATTTTAGCTCAAAATTATGGTCGTGGACCAACTTTGATGAAAGATCTGGTTTGGCATCAGAATGAAAGTCTTGTTCTTTACTAATAATAAAAGAATGATAAGGTAAATGTTGGAAGTCAAAAAACAAAAACTCACTTTCTCCTTCCAAGGTCCTGTTTCCTTTGTAACAGGAAAATTAAGTTTTCCAAAGAACTTCTGATAGAGTTTATCCTGTGGACCTTCAGCATTTCCATAAGCACCACCATGGCTTGATTCCGTCAAACTATGTGGGAAGCAAAAAAGATTTCCAATAAATAATGTTACTTGATATTGGAGATCACTGATGCTACTTCACATTACCTAGAAATTGATTCGTTTACTATTATGTCTCTCGTCATCACCTCCAGCATGTTAAGTAACACAATTTCAACGCCATCCTTGTCACCTTTGTCATTTTTTATCTGTGGAAAGGAAAGATCATGAGTTAGAAATCAACATTGGCCTCGTTAAGATTGCACAATAAATTAATAGAAATTGTTCCATTTGGAATGTCCCATGCTTTCTAAGAAAAAAGTTCGTAGTTACACCAGGCCCATCAAAGATGATAGTTTTCCTGTCTATATCCACCTGTTGTCTGGTTTCTTCTTACAGAAGGGCAGTCTTCTACAAATATACTACAAATTTCGCCAAATATAATAAAAACTCCAACATCACCCTGAATATAGGCCAAAAGGTTCTTTTTGTTTCCTATGACTATTATTTTGGGTGAGATTGCTGTTCCTAGCACACAAGATTTCATTATTTTGTCATCATTGCAGAACACACAAGACTGCAAATAGACAAACATGGATATAAAACAATCTGCTTGGTCAGATTTTGCAATTATCATGGGATGGACAAGCAACGAGTATATTTACCAAAAACTTAATAAGCTGAAGAAATTGCTCAGTGAGGCTAGGCAGGTGCCTCATATCAAGCTCGCTTAACAGATTTCCCTTCTCTATGTGATCATCAACTGTGGCGAATATCTCGTTTAGAACACTGAAAACAATCAAACCACATTGAAGGACAAGTTAGTCATATATACGTCATCTATAAAATATTCCCTCCATCCAAAATAAGTGTGCACATTCCTATTTATGTTTCTCCCAAATAAGTGTCTGGTTTCAAAATTAGATAACTAATTTCTAAATCTACCCTTAATTAATGCATAAATATTTAAGAGTTCATTAGATAGGTAAAGTTGTCATTTGGTTAACTAAAAATTGTAATAATTATGCATGTCTAAAACTGTGTCATTTCTATTATGGACACTTATTTTGGGACGGAGGGAATAACTCAGGTGGTGATTTACGTACGCCTTCTCACGATCCCCCAAAACCAGAAAATTCAGAATATTTTTGCATGACGCATAGCACTCCCGAACCGCATAGCGCATATAACTGTCAAAATTCATCCTCTTTTGCAGTTCAGAGTCCCTTCCATTACTATCTTTTGCCATATCCAACGCTATAGGAATCTGCAAAAATAGCATTAAAAAATTCGTTGATATATATGCCCTTAAAAGATTCTTGAAAGAACATCATTCAGGATATAATAAACCTTGCTAGCAAGTAAAAATGGAGGCCACTGAATGAGATCCAAATCAAGATCTGCGCAGTCTGGCATGAGTAATAGGTTCATTTCCCTGATAACCATAATAAAATGCATGTAGAGATCAGTACAAACAAAAGAAAATTATTCGAAGAGATATATGTATCAAATCAACTTCACAGCACCTATTATTTATTAAATCCTCAAGCCTGAAGCTTTTAATTATTTGATTCCACATCTGAGCAAACTTTGCCGTCTCCTCTTTGTTAGATGTGACCTGAAATAGTTACCCAAATAAATGTTAGCCATCCAAAAACAAGCCAAAAGATTGTGCTTTGTGTTACTAATAACAAAATAAGATAATAAACCTTCGTGAATCTGCGTGATAGAGTAGCCTTAAGTCCTTTTTTGGCCCTTTCACCCTTTTCTGCTGGAATTAAGCATTTGTTAAAAGCAAGTGGCAGTTGCTCAAACCGGCTTCTCAACATTTCCAGAGTTCGTATCTGAAAAGAAAAATATTTGAGACACAAAAAAAGAAGCATGTGTCCTTCAATAGGAGTTCTATAACAGAGAAATGAAAGTAGACACACATGCAGTTGTAATATGAACTTGGCCTGAATTCAAAAACAGGTGATCTCCTAAAAACCGATGAGGTTTTATTTCATTAATTTCATAAAGAAAAACAATCAATGGGACACCATATTTTTATAGTGTCCTGCTAACAAAAACAATCCTAAAAAGACTCAAATACGTAACTTGCCAAATACTCAAATAAAGACTTATCTTAATTTAAATAGTTAAATAAACCCAGCTGGCCTTATCCTTCCATCCAACCTATCGACGTCTTTGATAAACTCTCCCGAACCTCTGGGGCGTATCATTACTCCCCTCCCAAACACGCACCTTGTCCTCAAGGTGGAAATCAGGAAACTGACGGTTCATTGCCTCTGACGGTTCCCACGTAGCCTCATACTCGGGTAGACTCTTCCACCGGATTAGGACTTCTTGACCCGTAGGCCCCTCACGAACACCCTCCACAAGTTCGGGTTGCAACAAGACCTCCATTTCCTTTGTTAAAGTAGCTGGTAGTGTGGGGGTAGCTAGTCGGTTGCCTATAGCTTGCCGCAACGGTGATACGTGAAAGACAAGATAAATTTTGGATGTCTATGGTAACTGTAGGCGATATGCAACCTTTCCAATCCGCTCCAAAACGGTAAATGGGCCAAAAAATCTAGGGGCCAACTTTTCATTACGACGATGTGCAACCGAATGCTGCCGGTACGGCTTCAATTTAAGATACACTTGATCACCAATGGTAAATTAGACACCGCTCCGATGCCGATCAGCCTTACTTTTCATTAATTGTTGTACCTTGAGCAAGTGTCCCCGTAATTCCTAGAGGATTCGATCCCGTTCCTCCAAATATCAGTCAACATCGCTAACCGGTGTTCTCAAGCTTCCATAATACAACAAATGGGGTGGATCACGGCCGTACCGAAATGGGGTAGTATTAGTGGAGGTATGAAATGAAGTATTGTACCAATACTCTGCCCAGGATAGCCACTTAATCTCTTAGTTGGTGAATCAGGCACGAAACAGCGCAGATACGTTTCCAGACAACGGTTCACCACCTCCGTTTGCGTTTGAATGTGATAAGTTGTACTGCGCTTCGGGGTAGTACCATGCATGCGAAACAGCTCTTTCCAAAAGTTGCTCAAAAAGACCTTATCCCGATCGGAGACTATTGATTCCGCTACATGTGCAAACACACCACTTCTCTTTAAGAAAATTGAGGCTACAGTGGCTGCGGTATAAGGATGTTTTAAGAGAACGAAGTGAGCATATTTGCTAAGACGATCGACTATCACGAAAATTACAGTAAATCCCTCAAATCTAGGTAACCCGTCAATAAAATCCATGGTCACCTCCGACCAGACTAAGGTGGGTAACTCAAGCAGTTGCGAAAGGCCTCCTGGAGCCATAGTCGAATACTTCTGTCTTTGACAAATGTCGCATTCCGCCACATCGTTGCAACCTCGCTCTTCATGCCAATCCAATACATCTCCCTTGCCATCCGCTGGTATGTTTTCTGAGAACCCGAGTGACCACCCACTGTACTTTCGTGAAATTCTTTAAATAATCGCGGAATCCACGCAGACCCCCGCGGTAACACCAAACGCTTATTAAAAAGCACTAGGTTTTGTTGTACCTCATAACCATACGGTATTTCTCGACCTTCCAAGATTCGTCTTTTAAGAGCTTGGATTTCTGGATCCACCTCTAGAGCAGCCCATAACTCGGCCCAATTAAACCGAGAAGATGTGACTTGAGTGTTGGGTTGGTGCTCTTTCGTGACAAAGCATTGGTGACGCTATTTCCTTGCCTAGTCGATAATGAATTTCAAAATCATACCCCAACAATTTCGACAACCATCTTTGATGATCCTCAGTGATAGTTCGTTGTTCCAACAGGTATTTCAAACTTCGCTGATCGGTGCGCACCACAAATTTTCACCCCAACAAATGCGGGCGCCATTTTTGGATTGCCATTACTATCGCCATTAATTCTCGTTCATATACGGACTTAAGACTAACCCGGCTACCTAGAACATGACTAAAGAAGGCACTGGGTCGATTTGCTTGCATTAAAACCGCTCCTAACCCATACACTGATGCATCGGTCTCTACCTCAAACTCTCTGTTAAAATCAGGAAGAGCCAGAACAAGTACTCTTGTCATCGCGTCTTGTAGCTGTCGAAAAGCTATTGTGACTCCTTCAGTCCACTTAAAACTATCTTTCTTCAATTGTTCCGTCAAAGGCCAAGCAATTTTTCCGGAGTCTTACGAATTTTCGATAATAACCCGTGAGCCCTAAAAACCCGCGAAGTTCCCGCAAGGTCGTAGGAATGGCCCACTCTACCATAGCTGGGATTTTAGCCGGATCTGCAGTAACACCAGCTTCTGAAACTATATGACCCAAATATTCAATACGTCTCTGTGCAAACGAACACTTTTTCTTATTTACATACAACTTGCATGCTCGCAACACTTCAAAAACCTCTTGCAAATATTGACCATGCTCTATTTCGGATCAGCTATAAACTAGAATATCATAAAAAAACAAGCACAGAGCGTCGTAAGAAAGGCTGGAATACTTTATTCATTAATGACTGGAACGTTGCCGGTGCATTCGTTAGACCGAAAAGCATGACGAGAAACTCGTAGTGCCCCTCGTGAGTTCGAAATGCGGTTTTTGGCACGTCCTCCGGTTTCATTCGGATCTGACGGTAGCCCGATTTAAGATCCAATTTGGTGAAAATGCCTGCCCCGTATAACTCGTCCAACAGTTCATCAATCACTGGAATTGGGAATTTATCCAGCACGGTTTCTTTGTTCAACGCACGATAATCCATACAGAAACGCCAACTACTGTTCTTTTTCTTTACGAGTAATATTGGACCAGAGAAGGGACTAGTACTGGCCTGTATCACTCCTGCTTGTAACATCTCGTGCACAAGTTTCTCTATTTCGTTTTTTTGGGCATGCGGGTAACGGTACGGCCTCACGCTGATCGGTGAAGAACCTTCTTGAAGCACTATCGCATGCTCGTGGCTGCGAGACGGGGGCAGCCCTGGCGGCATTTCAAAAATATCATCAAAGCTATCCATGATGGTTTGAACTGAAGGTGGTGTCGGTGGTGGTGGTGGGCCCCGGGTCATTTCGGCTAAGCTCAAATGAACCACGAATCTTGTCTTCCCACTGCAGTATTTTAGTCATTGGCTTGGGTCGGCCCATAATGGTGACCTGTCGGTTGATTTCCCGAAATTGCATCCTTAATTCCTCCGTTAACCGTCATATCTCCTAAAGTCTGTAGCCACTTGATGCCCAAAATAATGTTTGATCCTCCCAACTTCAGAGGGTAAAAATCTTCTACAATTTGGAGCCCCGATAGTGTGAAAACAACCCCTCTACAAGTCCCTTGACTCCGCTCCATCATATCGTTTCCTGATCGAACTTTCACCGCACCGGTGTCCGATACTTTCATCCCGAGTTTGCCGACCACTTGTCTGGACACGAAATTATGCGTCGCCCACAGTCGATTAGTACCAATACCTGAACTCCCCCAACGTCGTCCGTTACCTTCATAGTCTGGGGTGGGGTAAGCCTACTGACCAAATTCAAGGATACCTCCACAATGTCGAGGTGTTCGTGATCTGATTCAGGTCATCTTCCTGGTCGCTTTCCTCATCATCCACCAGGAGCACTTGGAGAGTCTTGCTGGGCACCTGGTGCAAACTTTTCATCACAATGAAAACATAACCCCTTTGCCCTTTTAACGGTGAATTCCGCATCAGTTAACCTTTTGAATTGTCTCGTAGGTCCTGTCGTGCCGGTGTCGGTGCCACCCTTCTTGTCGCTTGTGGCTGCGGAGTAGGTGGTATAGGTAGGGCGGTTACTTGGAACCCTAGTCGTACTTTTCCCCACCTTGGATCCTCCCATGCTAAACTTATTATCATCCATCCTCACTGCAATTTTCATGGTTTGTGCTAGTGTATCAGGTTGCAAGACTGATTGCCGACCGGAGTTCTGGTTTGAGTCCATTGATGACTGCTGCCTCCAGTACCTTCCAAGGTAGATCTCCAAGTTTCCCCGCCATCTTTCAAATTTACTAACATATTCACGTGCAGCCCCATCTTGATGAATTGCCAGTAATTGCTCATAGGCCCCTCCCTCTTGAGACGGTTGAAAGCGCTCTAACAACCATTGTTTCAAATCTTCCCATGAGTGGAAAGGATCGCGCCCTTCACACCAGCGGTACCAAGCCAAAGCCACCCCATTCATGCATATTGCGGCCGCCCTTAGATGGTCATGTTCCTTGACGCCTTGAATTTCAAAGAATCTTTCAACCCGGTAGATCCACCCATACGGGCCATCCCCGTCGAAAATAGGAGCCTTAATTTTTCTGAAATCGCCCAAAGGGTCAGGACCCTTGCCCTCAAATCGGTTGCTTTTCTTTCCATCAGAAGCTTCATCATCAGAGAATGACTAAAATCCAATTTTTGATCCCATACCTTTATCTTTCTTCGATTCATTCTATCCGACTACCAGAGTTAGGTCGCTAATAGCCTTCAACACTTCTTGGAATTTCATCGCATTCTCAGAATGATTAGCCTCTGTTTCCTCTTGCATTTTTGCCATGTCTGCTTCCAAATTGGTGATCCGATCGGTATTGCTCACCATCTTGCTACCAGAACCGAACGGCTCTGATACCAAATAATATGAACTTGGCCAGAATTCGAGAACAGGTGATCTCCTAAAAACCGATGAGGTCTTATTTCATTAATTTCATAAAGAAAAACAATCAATGGAGCACCATACTTATAGTGTCTTGCTAACAAAAACAATCCTAAAAAGACTTAAATACGTAACTTGCCAAATACTCAAATAGATTTATCCTAAATAAAATAATTAACTAAACCCAGTTGGCCTTATCCTTCCATGCAACCTATCGACGCCTCTGATAAACTCTCCTGAACCTCTAGGGCGTATCATTGAAGCTCACACCACTAATATCATGATACAGCTTTTACATGCATCACAACTTGTAACATAATCAAAATTTACCAACTTCAACCCATGTAGTTTATATGTTCATCCTGGAGCCAATCTTTCATATGACACTTTTTTAAACGAGTTTTTCTTCCCTTGTAAGCCTCTTGAATTTGCTTTACGTCTTCCAGCTTCACGATCTTAAGCCTCTCGACGACCAGAATGTTCAGAAATATAAGGAAATGCACCAAAACAGAAACAAGAAATGTCTAATCGTCCCTGGTTTTTTCTAAGGAGGTACACTCTAGGAACAGAGAACTAGAATCCATTAATATATATAGGGACCAAGACTATACAAAGGAAACAAGTAAATATCTAAGGACTAACCTCTCCAAGACGCCGAAATGCACCATAGAAACCACCAAATATTGTGGAAAAGATGGCATACCATATTTGGGTATCCATAAAATAGACCTATGGAAGATAAACAAGAAGTTTATATTCACAAACCAAGTTTTAGAGACAAGGGAGTGAAGTTTGTGGGATGGAAGAAAATGAGATATAAATAACATACAAGAATAATAGGAGCCCAGAGCGCAATGACAACACCAAGATTGTTTCTTGCTGAAAATAGGAAATAACAATATATAAAGCAACTTCACTTTTGTGTGTAATTATATGAACAAATACATAGGGATACCAGACTTGATTACCTTGGGGAAAGAACTCATGCCATTGATAACGTCTTACATGAACTCGCATAATTGCTTTCGTTGGACCCACTAGAGGCTTTATCTGCAATATGTAAGTAATTAGGAAATCCATGTTCCAAGAATTATTAGAGATAACAGTTTCATAACTGCCTTCACACTTTGTCTATGTTTCACAAACTAGCAGATTAGCTAGTTGTTGACTTATAAGCTAGTTGTTAGCTGAAAAGCTAGTTGTTGGCTTAGTTAGGCACTTTTCATACTCCTGAACATTTACCTTTTAGATTAATAGATTGTTGGGTTATTTTTTTTAACTTTTTAGGCATAGATGGAAAAAATACTTTAAGGCGGTAAGAGAGGTTAATGCCGGCTGATCCCTGGTCATTCCTAGGAGAGGATCATACTAGGACGATAGTGACAGTGTCATTGTGTTGAAAAAAATTAGTATAGTGTTTAAGTCATCAAATTAACTAATTCTTACGAGACTACAAGAAGTGCAGATAAATGTTACAAGAAAAAAGATGAAGAAACAGGAGAAACACCTCTAAGTAGTAACTGAAAGCTAGCTTTGCCACTATGAGGACAATCCAGAAAAATGTGTACCTAGAAAAGAACATTTAAGGTTAGACATAATGCAGAGAACAACTAATTAAACCAGTATGCACATGTGTTTTTATATGGAAGTCCTACTTGATAAGGGAAAGAGTATCTTCATGCATTCCCCTTCCGACGTAGAGTGGAAGCTGCAAATTTTCAGGAACTATCAAGAATAAATTCTGAATGGCACTTCAATAACCGTAATAATTTCCAATACGTGATTATGTATATTACTAGTTGTGTAACCGTGCAATGCAGCGGATGTAAAAATTTATCATAAACCGAGAATGAAAAGTTAATGCAACTCTCATTGAAAAAAGACTGAAATTTATGTTTGTAAGAAATAGAAATTACAAGATGGTTGAACATGACATGCTAACTTCAAGACCTGTTAAGAACACCTAAAAACAATATATATGATATGGGTGTTAAAAGTAATGATTATAAAATTCTTGTTTATAGGTTTAATTGTTTAATTCAAATTTAAATATTTAGATTTAAAAATAAATAATCAATTAATTTCAGTTCATGAGGTAATCTTCCGGTTTAGTAGGACTCAACATTTAAACTGTACTTGAAAGTATTTATATGTTTCATTTAGTTTTATGGAGTTCAAATTGCATTTATCCAGTAATAAGTTGTAAACTTCAACCATACGAGATCCTAAAAACATGGGGCAAATGCTTATAATATAGTAAAGATAAGAAGTAAAACTGAAGGCTTGTGATGCCTCTGTTCAAGAAACGCAAGGAAAGAAAGATGTAATCCACGGCAACAAAAGTCGAAAAAAGGTTTACTGTACCTGCGACCACCACATGATGAGCCTCACAATTCTGTAATCAGATTTCTCTAGCCTCCGACGGATAAATGGTAGGAGAAATAATAATGCAGTAAGCATGTTGGGAGACAAGTAAACAACAATTGCCAAAATGAAGAGAGAGGGGGAACTTGGTCCATTGCCAAACCAGTTCTTCATGGTCTCTCCAAGTCCAGAAGGATTGTCCAAACCATAAGAATATGTTGTTGGTAAAACTATAACCCAAGCTGCTGCCGCAAAAGTCTTCAAAACATATCGGAGCTTGACATGAAATGACATGCTGAACCTTGCTTTCCACATCATCACCAAGTCAACCACAGCTGGAAATGGAGAGGATATAAGAGGACTAGTGTTTCAACTTAATGATATATAAGTTCAATTGACCTTTTTGTGGAATCCTTTTTTTAAATGACCTTTTTACAGGTTTGAGAATGCCACTGCTCAACAGAAGAATGCCACTTCAATCGGTCATGGATTTAAAAGGCTCTTGTCAGGAGGTATTTAGCTAGATAACCCCCTTTTGTGGGGCATCACGCTGTAGTAGTTTTTCATGGTGATAAAACAGACGTAGGTGATGAAAGATACCTAATCAGTTAGAAAAACGGCCCCAAATTTGGGTAAGAACTAATAAGTCAATACCCAGATGCCACTGGAGTTTGGTACATGATATGCATTTGTTTTGTAAGTTCCAGATTTATGTAAAAGACAAATTAATTATAGATAAATTGCATGAAAATGCAACGTACTCCAGTCTGATTCTTATTTTGTGTATCGTACTCTCAAAACCTTCATTTTGGTACCTCGGTTGTGACATCTCAAACAATTAGGTACCTAGTTTACATCTGAAAATTGAATGAAAATGCAACATATTTTGGTCCGATTCCTATTTTCCATAATGTACTTTGATCTAAATCAAAAATGAAGGTTTTGGATGTACTTTACACAAAATAGGAACAAAGTAAGTTGCATTTTTCATGAAATTTGCCCATCAATTCAGGTATTTATACTTCCATGTATATGTCAATGCACGAACTTTTATGCTCCAAAAACTTGCATTTGTGCCAGGTAATAACTTTAAGTGCTTTGATTTTGCACTTTCAGGTAGAAGGTTAAAATTCAAATATCAGTGCTACTTACTCTATCGCGCACTTTTCAAAAGAGAAAGTCCTCACATAAACAACCATACAACTCTTTGAACGTAGGGGTCAGGTCTATGTACATCTTACCTCCCCCCCCCCCCAAAAAAAAAAAAACCCACCTCCAGGTGGGATATACCGGGCTTGTTTGGTTTGGTTTATCACGGGATGTCACAGTTGGAACTAATTGAATGCGTTAACATAAATACATACTTTCATTTGAACCAAGCAGCATGAAACACACTTTGTGTCAGAAATCTTGTCTTACATCCTAGAAATACATTTAAGTTCTAAAACGAGTTCAAGTAAGCAAGACAAAAAAAATGTCTAGACGGTCCATGCGAGGACCAATACCCCACACGTTTAATATTTTGGTAGGGTCCTAACAACTTCTTGTGACTCCCATTATCCACTTGCTTATTGAAGAGAAAAATATCATTTATTTTCACCCATTTGCTAAATCTGTGTATAAATTTTCAACTTTATTTACAAAAGCCACTTATAGATACTACAAAAGGAAATCCAAGCATGCCATTAGTTTCTTACCTTGTGCAAGTTTTAAAATTGCTGCTGTTATGAAGATGCTCAACACTCTCTTGAACACTTCTCCATCAAAGATAGAACTTAGTTTACCGGATCCATTCCATGCTATAACGATCATTGCCTTGATAATGACAGAAACGTAGTCAATAAAAAAAGCTGAAGAAAGCAGTATGCGACCAAAGAAACAAGATTACCTGTAAACTCAAAATGTAAAAGCTCCACATCCTATCAAAACTCCTAAATATATGCCAGTATGAATCTATCTCCACAAAATTTATCTTCCCTACCCAACGACCTCTGCTAGGTTTTTCCACCTGAAAACAAAAACTAGCATCAAAATAGGCAATAAAGAAAAATGAAATCGAATCAATTACAACGCCCTTTCTTACTTTTCAAGAAAAATACCAACTTCTGCAATAGGGACTAGTAGAGTAGATTCACAAATGTGGATGAGCTTGGCCAAACACATTTGTTCCTCTAACTCTTCTGTTTAGGAATATATCATATGTTTTCAAATATTTTAGTAACTTATCCTTTAACAGTTTATGGGGGCAACCAATCAAATTGATGACTTCATATTTGCATGCAGTCAAACTTGAGGTTTGCCAAAAAGATCAAAGTGTCATGCCCCTAATACTAGCTGTATAACTGAGGTGTGTTCATTCTAGAAGGTTCCAGAGGTAGTAAGGGGGAAGGGTTAGTTTGGGCAGGAGTTTCTGTTAGCTTTTGAAGGGAGTCTAAATAAGTGGGAGGAGGAGGTGAGGGCGTCTGTTTTTGTGTCAATTTGGACGTGAGTCCTTAGGGGAGCTTCTCGAAATCCAGGAAACACCACCTGTAATCATTTGGTTGTGGGTAGTTGATATCAATCTTACCACTAATTCTGCTATTATCGATCCGGGTACATCACAAAGTAGATGAGTTTTATAAAAGCAGAATTGTAAAATAGGAAATGGCACAAGTGAAATAAACTCACATCATTATCTTTAACTTCTTGAGGCACATGAAAGAAATCAGCATCAGCACGCATTGGCCATCCAATACGGAAACAGTCGACTGACCTACAATGTTATTATTCCACTTGAGTAACATGCTTTTTGGAATTTAACATCAAACGGAATGTGATCTGAGACGAAGACGAGTGTGATACCAGAAATACTCATTTAGATCATCATAATTTCTCCATTGAGAATGTTTTGTCTTTCCTCCTTTGCTTTTATGAGCTTCCTGTATGGAAGGATAACTAAATCACAAACTGTAACCTACATGAAAGTTGCAAGACCTAACCACAAGGGTTGTGGCGTAGTGGTTGAGGCCTGGGGGATGTGGTGGAATATCCCATCTGCCCAGGGTTCTATTCCGGGCGCACACAACAGTTGTGGCCACTGAGTTCATCAGGGCTGATTTCTTGCGGTCACAATTTGCGGGGATTAATCCAGGTATAGCCTCGGACACCCTTCCAAAAAAAAGTTGCAAGACCTCTCCACATTTACTACACCTTTGCAATTGTATCGTAGATAGGAGTCACGACTTTCCTCAAGAATGCCTCCTTTTCACCCCCATAGGCAGGCTTAATATTCTCACCAGTCGCGGAACTGACGCTCCCGGCCAGCATACCGTAAACTTCAAATGCCATCTGTGAAGCGAGGAAGCATAAAGGGTTAAATATAAAGGGAAAATTGCATGAAACAGTTAAGAACATGTTATAGAAAGGGATAATTGCATGAAAAGCAACATACTTTGGTTCGATTCCTATTTTTGTGTAATGTACTTCTAAAACCTTCAATTTGATACCTCAGATGTGACATCCCACATTTAGATACCCACATCTAAGAATTTCATGAAAATGCAACATACTTTGGTCCGATTCCTATTCTGTGTAACTTACTTTGGTCTAAATGATTGAGAGAGGTACCAAAATGAAGGTTTTGGGAGTACTTAGACAAAACAAGAATCAGTTTGACTTTTCAAGCAATTTGGCCGTACACAAATGACCAACTATCCATTTGCTCGGTTTGTTTCATTGTGTTTCTCATTTTTATTTTGCGAGTCCTGTTTCCATGATGTGAAGATACAGAGAGATGAACCCATCAGTATAACATAAGTAATGAAAGATATGGGCTAGACAAATGGAGCTGGGGTTTCTACTTAATAATAGGCATAAAAAAAGAAGAATGCCATTCAAGTAAGCCCTTTGCAATGAAGCCGTACATAAGCTGATGTCAACAGTGCCTATCTATGCAGATGGTGGTCTACTAAAGGTGTAAGAAAGAACATTGGTGTACCCATAAATTATGTATCACTTATTGACTATACAAGCAGCAGAAATCTTTTTTTTTTCTGTTTGACCGAAATATTTTGAAGGTTCTTTCTTTATTCATAAGAGAGGGGTGTAAACCAAACCAAATCAAACGCGTTCAATATATCCCACCTGTAGGTAGCGTATGGGGTATGATGTACAAACCAGACCTCTACCCTAAAGAGTAGAGTGGTTGTTTCCATGAAGACTCCCGACTAGTGAAAATGTGTGAAAGAGAGAAAGGTAACCCAAAAAGTTTGAAGAAATCAAACAAAAGATGAAGACTTTGAAAAAGAACTTGAGACAAGAGAAGCAAAATACAATGAAATTTGAAAAACGGTTATGAGTAAGCAACAACATACAAGCATAAGCATGTACAAGAAAACATAGCCAAGGTAAAGAAACTAGACACCCCTAGTCTAACTTAGGGCTCCGATTACGTAACTACCGGCTCACTAACTGAACCCCCCACCCACTACTTCTCCAGCTCCCTTCCTCCCACCTACACTAGCTACAGATCCCCACCCCTAGTCCGCTACCCTAATCTATGTCTCCACGAGAGAGGGGGTGTAGTTCCATCTATCTTCCATACTTTTCACAGCTCCAACAATTTTTTTAAAGAGCATTCCACAAAGCAATTCCTGGCATAAGTTGGTTCCTTATTTTGTTAAAAAAGATACAAAACAATTAAAAAGCATTATGAACGAAATTTTCAATAACGAGGTTGTACTTGGTCACACTCTAGCTTACGAAAATTTGTTCAAATTCTTAAATAAATTTCTTAAGCATCTATACATGTTTTCTCACAAACACTAGAGATATAAACGGCCAGTGTTGATAATGACCTAACAATCTTCTATCTAGTAAAACCGGGAAGGAAAAAAACAGAAAAGAAAGAGGATGAAAGATGGGAATGGAACATCAAGTAAAAATTCTATCCCACTTTTCAAAGAGTTACATGGACTTTAAAAAGAGAAGTAAACATGTTCCTTGAAAAGAGATCAAACATAGAAGATTTTTGGAAAACTTAATTGGTCATAGACTCTTCAATGAAATAACTAAAAACACTTACCTGGAGTGCTTCTTTATAATTTTTCTTCCTACAGGCAGAGGCAATCCACAAGGGAAGGAGTGGTAGCCCGTGCCACCACTCATCTGTCATATTGTAAAAATATTTACAACCCTTAACGGCGCTACCACTATGATTCATTTTGTGCTACCGCTGGGCATGTTTGACAATGGTGGAACACAAAAACCCTAGCAGTAAATCTTTGAAATTGGAACTGATATCTTAGTGTGTATTTTTTTTATTAACCTAGATATCCAACCCGCTATGCGAGCCGACTAATCCCAGGGCGACCACCTGCTTTGCAAATAGTCCGGAGTCACCGTATTTGAACCTCCGTGGCCACAAGGGGATTTTTATTCCTCCTTGGATTTGAACCTGGGACCTCCTAGTACTTTTGACCTTTGGAGCCAAGCTCAAACCAATCAGGCACCACCCTTGTTGTGTATTTGGTAACTATAAATTAATTTTTATTTTATTTTATATTACAAGAATTTGTGCCACTGGTGAAAAAAATCGATTCGCCACTACCTACAAGTATCGTGAACACAAATCTTGTCCCTTGGGTAAATGTTAGTCATAAATCACAAGGCTTAAGGTCTTCACGATTACTTTAAGTAAAAGAATAACACAAAAGAATATCAGAGAAATAGAAAGGGTTGTTGACAGAACATAACAAAATCATAATGCATACGTGGTGATAGATGTAGCAAAGGCATTCCGGCATAAATCTCAAGTTTGCAGCTTCACCCCATATGAGAAGATACAAACCCATGTATAACAGTTTCCTTTGTTGCACTTCTTTTTGAATATTTGGATACCTGTAAATGGAGGACCATAACACAGTATTCCCTTGTTAGATGTTGCTTGGGGCGAACTAAGAATCAAAAAACAATTAAACTTCACCAAGCAATGTCAAGATGGAAATTCATCGGTATCCAAATAATGCCTTTACAATTTATTCACTCCATATATAGACAAGTTATATGGCGGCTTTAGGCATTTCCGAAGACATGGACTTTGACTGGAGTTATTGGAGATGCATGTTAGGATAGCAGGCTAGGATGGGGATCTGAACTTTCTTTTTGCTGCAAACTTTCTTTTTTCACACACTTTTCACAAGTCGGAGGTCTTCATGAAATCAACCTCTTTATTCTCATGGGTAAAGGTCAGGTTTGCGTACATTCCACCTCCCCAAACCCCACCTCCAGATGGCATATACTGCACTCATTTTGGTTTATACAGAACTTACAAAATGAGTATTCAAATTATTGATGTTACTCATCATGAAAGATCATAAATGTGTCAAAGGTCATAACATTATTCTGAAACCAAAAATCCGGAAGGTCAATCGCCACATAAAACTTCAAGGAAGCTAGACTCACCAAAGACTATGTTTGCGACCCAAATATTCGCACCACTTCTGGTAATTTTTGAAAAGTTTTTTCATAACTTCATCAACCGCACCATCATCCAACTATAAAAGAATAATGTACAAGAATGTCATCAACAACAAATTTGTAAGGCTATGTTTGGCAAACTACCTGATAACCTAGATAACCTAACTGATGGCTGATAAGCTAGTTGTTAGCTGAAAAGCTAATTATAAGCTTATAAACTAGTCACTTTTGAAAAAGAATAGATGATAAGCTAGATGACAATGTAAATGACCTAATTAAAGAAATATAAGGGGCATTTATGTAAAATATAGGGGGGCATAATTGGAAATTAAAAAGTGTGAAGAAAAAAAACGTGAAGCTTATCACTTACCAAAAAGCTAGCTTATGGCATACCAAGCAGGACATTTTTTTCAATAAGCTCAAAAAATAAGTTAGCTTATGCTTGCCAAACATAGCCTCTGTACATTAAAACTATTTAATGCCATCCTCTGAAGTATAATACCTTAGGTTCTTGTCCAGGCTTTCGGAGTCGAATATGAACATTTGCCAATAACAAGATCAAGTGTTCCCTTTGATTTGATACGTTATCTTTCTGCAAAATACTATGTCATATCCCAATTGATCACAAAATATCATCATATATGACTATGAATCACCAAGAGCAGACCTGAAAACCAAACATAGCCTGTAGCCAATCCAAAATGTCTTCATCTTCTTTCTTCGTGTGCTCTTTAGGCCATGGCAGACCTCTGGTATTACGGAGAGCAGTGACGGAAGCTTGTATCTACATATTGAACAAGTGAAGTATCAACATACCATGCCAAAGGGTATTATTGACAAATTGAGAAACCTCCATGTGAGATTTCTGCAACAAACCTCTGGATATCTCATGATCGCTTGATTTTTACTGTCGGGATCAAGTGGAAGTATATTATAAGGAGCATACATTTCTGTCTTCGCTGCAACCTCATCGTGTGCTTTCAAAATCTATGCACATACGTAGTAATAATTCACCAAAATTGCATATACAAATATAAGTAGGAAAAATCAAATGTGAACCCAAAAAAAATGTTGAGAACCATGAAACCAAACCCAAGCATTCAATGAGTTTCACACGCACTTTCACTTTAGGCTAGGATTCAAGGTGGTATTATTGTTAGGGCTGTAAACGAACCGAACGAACACGAACGGAGGCTTGTTCATGTTCGTTCATTTAACTTAACCGAACAAACAAACGAACACGAACAGTAAAAGAACGAAAATCTTTGTGTTTGTGTTCGTTCTTTAGAATTCAGGTGTGTTCGTGTTCGTTTATGTTCGTTCGTTAACATGCTAAACGAACGTAAATGAACGAACATAACAAACGGGCTAAACAAACATAAACGAACGGGTTAAACGAACATAAATAAATATTATTTGAATTCAAAGTAAATAAATAAAAGATTATATATTAAATTTAATATATAAACGAACGAATATAAACGAACAGTAAATGAGCGAACGTTCACGAACATAAATGAACGAACGAGATTCTTGTTCATGTTCGTTCGTTTAACTAAACAAAAAAATGTTCATGTTCGTTCATTTATTAAATAAACGAACTTCCAGCCGAACGGTTCGTTGAACGTTCGGTTCGTTTACAGCCGTAATATGTTCAGTGAGTCTGTGTGTGTTTAATATATTAAAGGTATGGATTTGTTCTGTTTCACATGTGAAACAATTCTGTCTGTTTCACATGTGAAACAATTCTGTCTGTTTCATATATGAAACAACATTGTATGTTTCACATGGACAACGGGTTCTTATGGTTCTTAACATTTTTCTGGTTCACATTTGATAGAACCCCAATAAAAGCAAACATCGGATGAATTTCTTGAAGGAAGAATAATATCGAGCATTTACCTCTTGTGCCACATCAACAGATTCTGTCAGATTGACAGCCTTTAAGACCTCAAACAGAACAGCAGCAGTTTGATAAGCTTTTGTAAGACGGGTACTGATATTAGAAGTAATTTATTAATCAGAAAAGGTAATATGCAAAGAAGATGCAAAACCCAGAAGGAAGAATGATTACCGGTCAGCCTTATCAGCATTTTGCAGAGCTTGAATGTACTTTCCATAGTAATGCCGGTAAAAGCTCTGCATTTCACGAGCATCACTCTTTGTTCTTCCTGCTAATGTAGTTATGTCTTCCTACATAGAGTACAAAGTTGGATTTGATTAATTAAAGGAATTGAAGTAAAATGTTGTTCCATCTTCGTATATAGAGTACAAATGGTCCTATGGTTAAATGACTTTTTGACAAGTCTTTTTATCTTTTTAGATCCATAACCCTCTAACAGATGTAAGAATGCCTATTCATAACACAAGAATGCCTCAAAATGGGTCGGAAGGTCATGGATTTAAAAAAATCCTCTCAGAAGGTCATTTAGCTAAATAACCCCAGTGAGTTTATTTTAAAAGAATAACCTTCTGACAAAAAAATTAATACATGACCTTGTGAAGCTATATAGACTTTCCTAATATCACTCCAAGTCTCCAACTAGCACCAAAAACAATACTAAGAAACGTTTGACATAGTTCTCTCAATAAGAGAATCAGGATTCGGAAGATTGCCTGATAACTTGCAGCATAGTCAAGAACAAGCCCCATTGCAAAATTTTGCAATTTCAAGTTCGAATTCACTTCCTAAAAAGTCAAGCGCTTGATATACCTATGCACTCAGAAAAGGAACCTTGGAATGTATTAGGTGTCCTTTATATACATGTTTAATTTCGTATTGTATGAAAACTTGTCTCTTTTGTATCTTTGCCTTTGTCCGTCAAATCTCACATGTGGAAATTCCAAAGAGTATTAGAGGTGCAACGCAGACCTCGATCGATATGCCCTTAGGCATGGCCATCATACATAACATAAAAATCACACTTGGAAAGGGTGGACAATTAGACACGGCAGTGGGTGTCGTAGCGAAACTGATAACAAAAGAAGGGAAATCGGCCACACTATGGGATTTATAGGGGAGAAGGCTCTAGAAAAGAATCGGACATGGGAGTTAATGGATCTACTAAATGAAAAGACAATAGTAAGGGGCAAGGGGTGTTTTGTGAAATTCAAGTTGGATCATTGGAAAGATATAAGGCACGCTTGGTCACCAAAGATTTCACTCATGGTATCAACTATATAGACATTTTCCCTCCGGTCACTAAGCTCAATAAATTCGTGTTGCAGTTAATTTAGATTGTTAATTACAATCATTAGACGTAAAAAATGATTTTCTAGTTGGTGATCCGAAAGAAAAAGTGTTTATGATGCCCCACTAGGTTTTGAAGACAAGTTTGGCTCTAAGGTGTGCAACTTAAAAGGGTCACTTTTATGGGTTGAGACAATTCCCAGGAGCATGGTTTGAAATATTCAATAGTTAAGTAAAGAGACACGGGTATTCACAAGCTCAAGCAAACAATGCAATGTTCTTTATAAGATCAAATGAGGGAAGGATAGTAGTCCTTATTGTCTATGTAGATGACATTATCTTGATAGGTGATAATTCAGTGGAAATGGCTCTATAAAAGAAAATTTTAACTTATGAGTTTGAAATCAAGGACCTTGGAAGTCTCAAATGCTTCCTAGGACTGGAGATATCCAGGTCTAAAGATGGAATAGTGGTTAGTTAAAGGAAATACATACTAGGCCTTCTTAAAGACCCCGGTATGAGTGGGTGCAAACTAGTTGATACTCAAGTTGATCCTAATGTATAGTTAGAAGATAGTAAGAATGACAATGTTGATACTTATTGATACCAAATACTTGTTGGTAGACTTATCTATCTCACATAGACCACAAGTGTGGAAATTGATCGACACTTCATCAAGGAAAAGATTGAAATCGGTGTTGTTTGTTTACTATTTGTGCCAACCTCTCAACTGACCATCTTTACGAAGGGTCTATTCAAATCTGGTTTTGATCATTGTATGAGCAAGTTGAGTTTGAAAGATATGTTCAATCCAACTTAAATGTGAAAAGATCATAAGGATTCGGTTATGAGAATCCTTTCGGTTTAGGGTTTCCTATTCTATGGGAAATCTTCCTAGTTTAACTCTAAGAATCATTTCCTTAGTCAAATAGGTTTCTTCTTTATTAGTTGTAGATAGTTATCTATAGAGACCCTTCATGGTCATTGTAACATTAATAAAGTATAAATTAACTACCAATTATGCTAAATAGCAAACCGATGGTAACCGGTATCAACAATTAGGAAACGGTATTATCGATTCGCTAATCGGTCAATGTTAGGATACCGTGAACTAAATCGAAAGCTTATATCGACATAATTACTAATAGATAGAAACTAGACGAATCTAACGATATATTTACGTTTATAATGGGAAAGACGAACTAAAAGATATACATTTAATGAGAAAATAATGAATACTTGCAATTTGCAAATTTGATTAAAATTATAGTTATCTACATTGAATTTAATATTATATATATATATATATATATGTTAATAGTTAGTTGGCTATATGTATGTCTGTATATATATATATATATATATATATATATATACATGCATGTATATATATATATATATATGCATGTATATAGGAGCAAGTTCAATTGTAAACTTAAGTTCCTTTGTGAACCGCGGGGCAAAGGAGAGTGCACTACATGTCTAAAACATTCACAAATATTTATCATGAATAGTGTATCACTCATCCTGAATGTTGTAAAATTTTCTCTTTCGTTATTCATGATGAATGGGAACAAATGAATACACGTGTCACACTCTCCTTTATCGCCCAATCCACAATGGAAGACAGGTTTACAACTGAAATTTCCTCTCTCTCTCTCTCTCTCTCTCTCTCTCTCTCTATATATATATATATAGTTCATCTCTTCATCCCTCTCATACAAAAAGAGACCTCCATGTCCTTCATTTTCTTTGCAAAATCCCATCAACGGATATAAGGAAAAAAAAACCACACACACATATACGGGTTGTGCAAGAGTTGAAGCTGAAGTTAGAAGCCAAGCAAGTTGATTTATGCAATTTTTAAGTAGTCAAAATAGAAGTTGATTATTTGTTTTTGTTTTGGTCTGGTCTTGAAACCAGAGATATGTATTTATTACGTGTTTTCTTGAGTTTATACATATTTTTATCATAAACTGCCTCTAATCAATTACATATGTATTCCATGTGTTATGTGCTCCTAAGTTTGCATCTAACATGAAACAAACCGGTCCACCGGTGTACGTTTTTAAAATACCTACATATATAAATATATTATATGTATTATGTTTTATAAATATTATATATATATATATATGAGATGAGGACAATATAGTAAGATCGCAATTTAGTCTAATCCGCTTTGTTTTTGTTCCATTCATTTCAATGGATAAAAAATTGCATTTTTGTCTCACTCGATTCCATGTTGTCCCGGTCCAATATCGTGCCAAACGTGGAACAAAGTTTTTTTGTTATGTTATGTTCCCTCTACCAGACACCTTTTATGACTCGCATAGAGAAGAAAAGGACTCATCTTTACCCCAATTCCCCACCTAAAGATGAGTGGAGGAAAGCGAAGTAACGCTCAAACTCAAAGGAAGTGGTATCTTTTGATATGAAGACACATTTTGAGCATTAACCTATGGCCGTTAATGGTAACACCAAATGACAGTTATCGTTTGTTGTTTAATGACAAAAACAACCCACGAACAAGATCTTTGGTACCTTTAGTCCAATCTTAGACAAAGAGCAAGGAGGATGCAATCTTTCCCGCATCTTGCGAGAAGGGAACAAAGTAGCAGATTCGCTGGCATCCTTTGCTCACGCTCATAGGGACAGCATGGTGTTCTAAATACAATCAATAATGGTTTTTTCTCTTGTTCTAGTGCCAATTTTAAGATTGTTGTATAAAGTTCTTGAAGGCTTTGTTATCCTAGGGAAATCTGCCATTAAACCCAACAACATACGGTGGGGGCTTAATTTTCTTAAAAAGAGTGATTACATGATCAAAGCTATGAAATATCCTTCTAGATTATAATTTCCTAACATACATATGGACCATGAGACAAGATTACAACAAACCTTAAAAAGACTACCAACATAGATAAAGTTATAACCCCAGCATGCATAAGGAATTCCACATAAGTAACCACTGAAACTTGAGTTAATTGAACTGCATGATTTTGTTGTCCGACCTGACCTTCAAAAGGAGGTCTACATGACGCTACCACTTGGGTAAGTCACCCGAATTTTGGCTTGGTTTGGAAGTTCAAGAATTCGAAAAACCATCCAGGACTCCTTGGTTGTCATAAAGTAGAAAGAGTTTTTGAACATCCTGCTATCAAACTTCTTTCCTTCTTTGTTTTAAATAAACGTGTTAAAAAGAAATAGTTCATAATGCTCATTAAAAGGGAAAGAATTAAGGAAAATAATATAATAGCTGATGAATGATGGAACAGAAAAGGTTACATACCCTTTCTAGGCGTTGAAGAAGGGCAGTCTTGAATTGACGAACACCACGACCACTTGATGTTGGATCTAGTTTGTGAGCTTTCTCAAATGCATAGAACCGACCTGTATCATGCATACAATAAGGTTTATTGATGCCATTGTGTGTAAGCAAGCATAGTGTGCTATTGCACATTTAAGGAATCAAAAACAATAATTGGATGCCCTACTAACTAGAGAAGAACAAGCAATTGGATATGCCTAAAGGTATGCTTGTGTGATGTAATCATGTCCCTGTACAATCTTCTCCTTTATGTTGTCAAATATGAGTTCAAGAAAATTAGAACTCAACTTAAATTATTTGGATTCCAACATTATATGATCTAAATACCAAATGTATTACTCACTATGATGTACTTTTTATCATTGTACTCTACTTCTTAAATGATTGTTACCACTACACTACAGCTAAAAAGAAACGCATAACGAATTTTTCCCAAATAATAGCATTGAATGATGATCAAAATAGCTTCTCATCATTTATCACTTGGGGTAGGATCGAGAGTATTTTATGATACATGTAGAGATATTGAAATTAACAAGACACTAAAACAAAACAAAAGCACAAGATTGTCAAAACTTAAATTCCTAAAGCAGAAATAAACCTAACAGCTAGTCAGATACATACACAGATGGAAACTTACAGAGATAGGCGACCCTTGGGTTGCTTGGTTCAACTTCATTAGCAACACGAAGAATAGGTGCAATCTCAACAAGAGATGAAGGCACCACTTCACTGTCCATCATTGCCTCCCCACCCAAATTACCAGCTGTTTGAGTCCGGAGCAGCCGCCCAGTAGGCAGCTGGTTGTCAGACCCTCGTCGATTGTAAGCCATTGTTCCTTCAGATTCTTCTTATAGAAGATCTTCAGCTCAGTTTAAATTACCTGCTTGTACAAATAATTAGCATCATATAGAATATCCCAAAGGAAAAATTACTCTACCTCTGATTAGAATCGTTCTAGTTAAATGATGAGAGATAGATAGGATAACTTGATTGTCTTAAATTAAAGACAGAGCAACCTTCCAGTATCTAGAGTAGCACCCTTTTGCCATAAAACTAAGAAAGGGCACAAACCACAGTCAAACAGTGGACCAAATTCTTGAAATTCTCCAAGTAATTTTGAAACGAAGATAATCAAATATCATAAGAAACCCAATTCATCCAACATCTCAAATTCCTAAAACCCCCCAAAAATTCAATCTAATTCTCATCAGAAAAGTCCGAATTCGAAAATCCTAAAGCCTTACAGTAACTTTATTCTTCGAATCATGAATCTACAACGATCATTCAAATAACAGACGAGGATGAAGATTATGAAGTTACCAAGTAACCGAAAGCATCAAAGTTCCATTGTGAACCAACTATAGTGATTCTTCTTTGCTAGTTCCAAGTGTAAAGTATCTGTGTGTGTGGCTAAGGAGACATTCAATCAGAAAACTAACTGGAAAGAAGTAAAAACTGAGAAAGCCACAGAGAACTTTCCTCAAGAATACATATGTGAGAGAGAGGAGAGAGGAGAGAGAGAGACGTTGGAAAGGTTTGCTACTTTACCATATTGACTTTGCTAATGCAACGCTTAACACCACCAGTGATGAACGAGCATGAGTCCAAGAATACAAAATTTTGCAGTTAAGGACTCCAACTTTGGTTTTTATTGCAATACTACCCCTTTTCTATTCGGGTATGTGTACAAATCACAAACAAATGAACAAAATTTACACTAAACTACTATTTCTAATAAATAACTTGCTTTCAAACAGCCAAACATATTCCGGCCGGCCCTCGTCCCAGTCCCGCTTGATCCCTCTTCTTCTTCAGTAGCGGCGAGCGAGAGCGGATTAGGGCTTTGACTAAGTCCAAGCGAGAAAAGCAGTATGGCAAAGTAGGCTCAAGTCAAAGTTTTGGTTGTTAGATTTTCCGTTCGAAATACACGAAAAGTCCATTCTGAGCACACTTGAAATTATGTATATTGGACGTTTTTCATTTTTCACTCGGTCCTTCAGGAAGTCACTATTCTTTTCTTTCTCCTAGCTCCCCAGGCAGAGTATTTCACGTTTAGCCGAAGGCTATTGAATTAGTTGAATCACGTAGGGGGAAAGACGACGAAAGCCTTTTTTCTTTCCCAGAGTCTGCTCGGAAACAATCAATTCCTGAGCAATTCGTTCACCGGTTGACACTAAATGATACGAGACAACTCGCGAGCTATTCGAGATCGACTCGGTCAACACCTCGAATAGGCTCGGCTCAAACTCGAATTAGGCTCGACATATTAACGAGTCGAGTCGAACTACCCAATACTCGACTCGAAAAACTCGTGAGATACTCGATTTTTTGTATATAGTTAGTTTTAAAAATATAATCGGTTTTATAATATAATATGTATAATATAATGTAATAAAAAGTGTCTTATATTTTTTAATATTTGAATAATATTGTGCATTTTTAATTATAAAAACTATATCAATATTTTTTTATTAAAATCATAATTAAAAAAGACAAAAGAAATTATAAAAGTGTTGGTGAAGTTATCCCACATTGGATGAGAGATAATAAAATAATGATGGAGAGTTGTTATATAAAGAAGTGATGAGAATGAAGTTTGTAACTTTGTTTTTTTTATGATGAAATTTGAGGTGCATCCAATTAGTTTTTAAAATTTAAAAGAACACATCTAAGTTTTATAATTTATAAGATAAGACCTTAAAATTTCATAAATTTCGACTGATGAGCTTGATTAAAGTTCAAGTTCGAGCTTAATTCGAAGAGGAGTTCGAGCTTTTGATACAGTTGATCTGATTATTTATTAAAAAGATTTTGTATATTAAAGAGGTGAGATACTAATTAAATAATTATTATCTTTGATGGATAATTTAAATGCAACAGTATTCGGAAATAGACAATTGAAAATAAATATTATAATAATAATTTATAATCAATACTTATTTACAAATCGTTTGTCTGGAACACTTCAGAATTTCAATTATTTAATAAAAATAACATAAATATATTTTATCATAAAAGTTAAAATATAAAGAAAACAATATGTCGGTTTATTTACAATGTATAACTAATGTCACAATCATTTATCTATCCACTATTAAATTTTTATTGTTTTTTATGTGTTTTAAAAATGAATTAACATGAACATTCAATAATCATAGTAACACCTCTCATATAAAAGCACAATGGCGAGTGGGGGTGGGTGGTGGTGTTGATTAAATTGAATCCAAAAGTTATTTTTATCTTTTTAAAATCAAATTATAAAATATGTTAAATTTGCCATGAAATGGAATTAAAATCCTTCACTTATACTGATGAATGATCAAACTCCTCAATCGTGAAATCCAGCAAAATCTAATCAATTTTATGAACCAAACATCATCTAGTAATATGGTCAAAGGAATCTGTCATTCCAATTCCGACCCATTAGGTTATTCAATTAGCTCCATAATCAAATGTCATAAGACCCCGACTTTATCTATTAATTACCAATCCATAGGAGGACCTACATAGGTGTCATGGGTAGCACGTGCCACCGTATCGTTTCTCCGCCGAAGGGTAAAAAATTTAGGTTTCGTTAACAGTGCAACCGTATTAATTTGTTGTGTGTCACCGTATTAATTTGTTGTGTGCCACCGTATGTATTTTGAAACTACAATGAGAACAAATTTTATTTGGTAGATTTGGTTTGCAAGGCATTTATTCTACCCCACACCCAAGTCCGAATCATGTTAGTGTCATTTTCTTAGTCAAACGGTGGCACCGTTTGAAAAAAAAAAATTATGTATATTTGTTTCTTATAGTCAAACGGTGTCACCGTTTGAAAAAAAAATTCTATATTTTTTTTTCTTATAATCAAATGATGCCACCATTTAAAAAAAATTATGAATCCGTCCCTGCACCAATCTTTTACGAAATCTCCACTGCAACAAACTCTCATAAACACATATTCAACACCCCTACCCTTGCCCGATACATTGAATCAAATAATGATTGTTAAAACGTCAATTTATTTGACAATCGACTAGACATATTACAAAAGTACTCCTTATACTATTGATCAATTGATTGATTAGGTCCCTTAAGAAACCTTTGATGCCTGTTGAGTAATCAACCCTTCAAATTAAACGTGTTTTTCAAGTTGTCTACCCATTTATCTGTTTTCTAGTTTCATTTGTGTAGCGTATACAATAGTCTTTAGTTTTACTGATATTAATCAGTTGTTTCAAATCAACACTTCTTCATTCACAACTTTATATATGTTTGATCATTTCAAATAATGAATAAAGCAGATAAAACACAGAAGATTCTATAAAACACTTAGACAAAAACAAAATAAGCAGAGTTACTTATTTATGGTCTTTTTTAAATAACATATAGCATGTGATATCCTTTTGTAATTTTTAAATGTGTATTACATCACAATCACATATCATTCGTAGGTTATAAGCTTTTAGTAATAAGTTATTATTGTTATTATTAAATTCGATTATGATTGTAAAGTTGATTTAAAAATTATTGAAGCATCATCTTATTTTTCTTTGAATGTTACAAGTGGTATCAAGACGTAGACCTTTGTTGATGTGTGGTGAGTTGAACTCTTGCATCCTCTAATGATATTGACTTTGAACGGGGTCTAAATTTATATATATATATATATATGGTTAGGTTCACGTGAGATCAAGGGTTTTTCGTGAGACCCGTAAGACCAATTTATGTTCATTGATCAACTTTATAAGCATATGATCTAATGGTCTAAAGTTGCACGGTGGTAATTTTGTAATTATTGAGAAGTCTCGTAGCGTTTATGAATGTTCAGATCTGACGATTGTAGATCTAATCCAAGGGTTGAGAATTGGTCTTACGGGTCTCATAAAAAACTGTTAGTCTCACATGATCCCAAGTATATATATATATATATATATATACACACACACACACATATACATTTGATAACGGATGTTCGGAATTTATGACGAGGTTTGTGACAATCTATTTTTATATCGTCTCTAATAATTTGTCATGTTGATTTAATTATTCATCATTTATTTTCTTTATTATCATTTTTAACATAAACTTTATAGTTTTTTGGGAAAAGTTTAGAAAAACCCACGAACTTTCTCAATTTAAATGACTAAGTTTATGACTTTTTTTAATGAAAAAAACTATTAAACTTTCTTATTTTAAATTATTAAGTCATTAAATCTTTTTTCGGAATAAATAAACTATCAAACTTGTAAATTTGGTCATCTACATTATTTTAACCCCAAAAAGTTACCTGAAACATGCTAGTAAGGTTTTAAAGTAAAAAAAATCTAAATCAGTTATTGACGTTCTCAAACCCTACATCATTTCAATCCATCGTCACCTTGTCCTCGTTTGCTCTCTATCGCCGTCTATCACCGTCATTGGCCCCAACCATTGATCTACCTCTTTTTTTATTTTATTTTTGTTTTTCAATTCTATATCTTTATTATGTCTATATGGGTTTCATTAAATTGTTGTAAAAGATGCAGGATCAATAAAAACAAATCAAAAATAGATAGATCAATGGCAGAGGTCGATGATGCCAATTGGTTGTATAGAGAACAGACAACGATGGGGGGCAAAGAGTGGTGAAGAAGAGCGATGTCGTTGTGTGTGAAATGTTTGAATGACGTAGGTTTGGGAAAAATAAAATTGATTCAATGTCTTGTTTATTTTAAACATTTATAGTCGACTATATATAATTTTTTTGGATTAAAAGAATATAAATAGCTAATTTTATCCAAAAAATATTCAAAGACTTAATAATTCAAAATAAAAAAATTTAATTTTTTTTATTTAAAAAGGTTGATTCAACAACTTAATTATTCGAAATAAAAAAATTCTCTTAATTTTTTTTTTGATATTTTTATCATGTATTTATGAACCGACCTCATCACATGTAATTAGGTTTTTTCCTATTTTGGGTCCCACCCCTTTTAAATAATTTATTTGAATTGATACTTAAAAAGCATCTTTATTAATTACGTTATTTTAGAAATTTTATAGATTTAAAAATAAATTATTTTAATAGTTATGTTAAAATCTTTTGTAAATTAGATAGGAAATATAGGAGAAAAAAAAAAGTCTCAAAATTTAAAAGAATAAAGAGACAGCAAAAAAAAATATAACATAAATGTTGGAGATGCTATTGTTCTTGAAAAAATCTATATTATTTTTGCAAGAAAGGTTAAATTGACGGTACTACTACATTAAATTATGTTTTTGTATATAACAATAAAATTAACATAACAATATATCGATTGTTAGCTATAATTGTTTGATTGTAATGAAAGAACGTACGTTTATTTAGAGATTTTTGGGGACTATTCATCTTATTTGAATCACATTAAACTTGAACCGAACTATCTAAAAATTGTAACGAGACACCAAAGTGACTTGAACGGTGTATACCTCACTGTAAACCGAATATAAATTTGATTTTTTTTTAATTGGAAAATTATAAACTTGTAACACTAAGGGTCCGTT